GTATATTTGTGTCTTTTTTTTAAAAAAAAATATGGAGCATCTGCCTAATCTCAAAGGATAGGCATTTGAAGAGCTAAATTACTGCTAATGTGGCAGAAGCATCTCCACAGACAAGTCCCCTTTTCACAGCCTTGCTTCTCTGTCATTGATTTTTACTGCGGCAGGTTCCCTGTTTACCCCTTTTGTTTTGCAAAGAATGAGCAGACTTTTTAAAAGTGTGTATTTTATATCACAGGCAAGCAATTTGGAATATTCACATTTTATGAATGGAATAATTTAGTAATACTTAGCCATACATTCCAACCTCTCTCCTGCCAAAAAAACAGTTACTCTTGTGGTTAGTCATGTAAAGGTAACTAGTTTCCTTACTTAAAAAAAAATCAAAACAGTTACTTAAACAAAATTGCTATAGGGCAGTGGTTTCCAACCTTTTTTTTGACCAGAGACCACTCTTCAAGATTAGTACCAAAAGAGTTACGAATCGGTTTTTGGTCAACTTTGGATTTGGTTTGGTTATTTGAGGTGTTGATTCTGAAAATTGCATTGGATAGACCATATCAGCTCCAGTTTCTGATACAGAACATATGCCATCCAGCAGTCACCATCTACTCGCCCACAGAAAACCATATTTAATAATCTAGAGCTAATGTTGTCTATCCAATGCAATTTTCAGAATCAGCACCCCAAATAACCCCAGGAGCAGGCTTACAAATGAAGACACCAAATGAAGACATCCTGCTTCCAGGCACTACATGGAACAGCTCCACTTAGGGAGAGGGAGGAGGAGGAGGAGAAGCAGATGACAGGAGGCTTGTTGTTGCGACTTTTGTGAGTAGTCAGCCTCTCCCCTCACAATATCCCCGTTGCCTCAGCACTATAAGAGGGTTTCACGAGTTGCTCTCGTTGCAACGGTGTAGTAACAGAGAGGCTGCAGACCATATTTTAGTTCTTAGGGACCACTGGTGGTCCATGGACCACAGGTTGGGAACCACTGCTATAGGAAGAAGGAATTATTTGCAAGTATTTTGTTCTTTGTTATTTCTAAGTTGCACTAGGTTTATAGCTCAAGAGGTGGAGGAAAATGGAATGTAATACAGAAGAAAAAGTAGTCACTATTTCTCTTAAAGCTTATTTTCTGCTGTGTAGAAGGGCTTCCAGTCTCTAGACCAGCAAAAAACAAGTCTGCCACTTCAATGTGACATCCTTTCAAATATTTAAATATGGCTAACATGTCCCCTCTCAACCTCCTTTGCTCCAAGCTAAATAAACGTACTTTGTTTCATTTTGAATTGTCTCATTATAGAGTTTTTATAATGAAAAGACATTCAAGTGCCTCCTTATGCATAACATTAACAAGTATTAACTATGGTGCCATTTTATGGTATCTGAGGGCCCTTCTACATAAACATTAAAACCCAAGAGGAAGCAGATTAAAAGGAGGAGTGGCTGAATGATGTTTAGCTAAAGTGCGGGAGAATTCAGGAGGAATCAGGTTAAGGGCTGGAAAACATGTGTTTAAAAGGTGGCCTTTAAACACGATTCTTTCTGAGAAATACCCACCTTTCCATGCCCATGTATCCCAGCAGGTATGGAAAACATGTGCTTTACTTCCCTCCCCTTTGTGTGGACTCCTCCAGAGCACGTGCATTTCTGAAAAGCCTGAAATAGCTCATCATCTGTCAAATGGAGACACAGGTGGCTCATTACCTGTCCGAACGTATCCTCCCCTATGAATCATCAAGATTGCTAAGATCGTCTGGAGGGGCCCTGCTCTCGATCCCACCGGCCTCACAGGCGCGGCTGGTGGGAACGAGAGACAGGGCCTTCTTGGTGGTGGCCCCTCGACTCTGGAACTCCCTTCCACTGGAGATCAGAACTGCCCCTTCTATCTTAACGTTCAGGAAACAGGTGAAAACTTGGCTTTGGGGACTGGCATTCGACGAATGAGCCATGATCCTGTGATATGGATGGATGACGACGAATAATGATTTTTGATGATGACTGACCACTGTAATTATATGATTGTATTTTGCTATTTTAACGTTTTAGTGTGATTTAGAATATGATGTTTTAATGACTGTCTGTAATATTGATGTTGGAAACCGGCCTGAGTCCCTCGAACGGAGGTGAGAAGACCGGTATACAAAACTGCAAAATAATAATAATAATAAATAAATAAGTGGAAAGCAAATACAACTAACTCAAATTCTGTCTTTTACACTTTGTAATGTTAAACAGAGCTTGAATTAACAACAGCTGAGGGCATCTCTGGAGTGATTTTTTTTTTAAAAAAACCCTTCTTCCAGAAGTCCCCCATTCGCCTTCCATCTTAATCCGCTTTAAAAAAAAAAACAGCTGTCAGGACGGTGGAGGACTATGCAGCGGGACTGACAGGTCTGTGTTTGGACTCCCTTTGAGGCCCCATATTTTAAAAACCCACTTCTTTGTCCCATGTTTCAATGCTGCCTGGAAGCGTCCTGAGCGAGTTTCCATAAGTATTACATTCCACTGCTGCTGCCTGGCAGCTCTTTGGCATAGTTGAAATTGCTCCACAGCAGAAGCTTGCCTGACATAGAAGACATTACCTGCACTGACATCAGTCTATTGTAGACTGATGTCAATAAGATACTTGTTTCCTTTTCTCATGCTCACTGAAGCAGGTAACTAGTTAACTAGATCAAAATAGCAGATAAGTGCTCAGCTCATAAAGTTTGACTCAGGAAATATATCAAGTATCTCTGAGTCTGCCACATTTCTCTGTTGTCTTTGTTTAAGCAAAAGTGAAGTATAATCTGATTTAATTATAATGTGTGTTTACTATTTAGGGTAAATTTTCTAAATACCTTATTATATTCAATGGCATTTGCCTCTTTTAAATGATTTTTCCAGAAATTTAGATGTAACAAGTAATGAGTCTGTTAGAGCACTATGATCATCTGGAGAGGCACTTTTTTCTGTCCCATTGCCCTCTCAAGCATTGTTGATGGGAACAAGGGAGAGAGCCTTTTCAGCAGACCCGTAGCCAGGATTTTGATATGGGGGGGGGGGGGGGAGGCTTGACCCTAGCAAACCTTTTGTATTGTTATCCCAATACCTCCATGCATATGGGATATATTGGGCATGGTGATCGGATCATGATATGAATAAATATAACAGTGTAAATAATGTACCAGTAAGGCCTTCTTGCAGACCATCCTGAGAATTTGGGGCGGGGGGGACTGAAGCCCCTCAACCCCCCCCCCCCCCCCCCCCCCCCCCCCCCCCCCCCCCCCAGCTACATGCCTGCTTTTTGGTAACTGTTCCCAGACTTTGGAACTTCCTTCCTAGATAGACTAGGATGGTCTGTTTGTCTTTTGCGTGTGGGTGAAATGTTCTTCTGCCATTGGGCATTAATTGAGGTTGGCTGCTAGGTATGGTATTTTAAGAGGTTGTGTACATTTAAAAATATTTTAATATTCTCTGTTCATGATACAAAATATTTAATTATTTTACAATTTTTATATTTATGTTTTAATGAATTTGCATTGTTTTAATTCTGTTGTGTAATGTTGTTATTATCTGGTTTGAGGCTCTATAGTAGGAAAAAGTTGGGATAAAAATGAAGTAAATAAATACAATAAATACTTCCAAGAAAATACTCCAACAGCTCCTTACTAATCAAGCTAACAATTTGTTCATAAATTTCTATCATAATTTGCTGTCGGCAAACACAGTTTTGCAGTAGTAACAGAAGGGTATTGCACTGTCCCTTTTTGAATAGAAAATGTGTCTTCCTCTAGTACTCTTCTCAGTTGTCTTCCACAGATTCTTGGTTAGGATGTAATATTACTTCCAAAGACTTTTTTTGTTGGAAAGCTTATTGCGTCTAGGATATTTATTATGAGTAGGATTTGTAGAGAGCAGCAATATATAGTGGTTTGGGCATTGGACTACATCCCTGGAGACCCAAGCTCAAATCCCCACTCAGCCATGGAACACCACTGTATGACTTTGGGCAAATCACATTTCCTCAGCAAAGAGGAACCATCCTCTGGATGAATCTTGCCAAGAAAAACCCTTGACAGTTAGATCAGAAAATGACTTGTATGAACACAACAATGGCTCTGGAGTTCTCTTTAAAGCAGTGCTTCCCAACCTTTTTTTTTGACCAGGGACCACTTGACCAGGGGCCTTTTGACCAGGGACCACTTTGACCAGAGACCACTTGACCAGGGACCACTTTGATCAGAGATCACTCTCCAACATTAGTACCAAAAGGGTTACGAATCACTTATTGGTCAACTTTGGATTCGGTTTGGTTATTTGGAGTGCTGATCCAGAAAATTGCATTGGATAGACTACATCAGCTCTAGTTTCTGATACAGAACATATGCCATCCAGTAGTCGCCATCTGCTCGCCCACAGAAAACCATATTTAATCGTCTAGAGCTGATGTTGTCTAGTCAATGCAATTTTCTGAATCGGCACCCCAAATAACCCCAGGAACAGGCCTAAAAATGAAGACACCAAGGCACCCCTGCTTCCAGTCACCATATGGAATGGCTCCACTCAGGGGGAGGGAGGAGGAGAAGCAGCAGTCAAGAGGCTTGTTGTCATGCCTTTTGTGGGTAGTCAGCCTCTCCTCTCCTGACATCCCTGTTGCCTCAGCACCATAAGACCAGTCACTCTCTTTGCAACCGTGTAGTAATGGTGGGGCTGCGAACGATATTTTAGTTCTTGAGGACCACTGGTGGTCCATGGACCACTGTTTTAAAGTGATACAGTTCATCTATTGTAAGTTGATTTAATTTCAACGCAGGTAGAGATGCAAGACAAGAATGGCAACTATTATATTTTCTGTAAATGTGCAAGAGAGGATGAATAAAAAAGCACCAACAGCATTCTGAACAGCTTACGAAACCAAGGCCATTTAAGAGCTAAACTTTCCCAAAAATTAAACAGGCTGACGCTGAAGCAAAGAATAATAATGAACATGCTCTCTTTCTTTGATATTTAGGCTCAGTATTTGATGTTCAAGCTTCCTGAAATGCTTCTGCTATTCGAGTTCTGAAGATGGATAAACATAAAACTATCAGGCCACAAGAAGAGGCACAACACAGCAAAACAATGGATGGAGAGCTAGACATGTTGGGAAAAGCGCACGAGTTCTTTCAGATCTGTGATATAGAACACAAGGGATTCATTTATCGTAATGAAATGCAGGTACATTTTTTAAGAAATGTTTTTTAATCTGTTAAAATGAAGTTTAAAATAACAGTATTCCTTTTTCAAGATTGGGTGTCTAAAGACACAATTTTGAAATTTGACTCAGGAAAGTACCTCTATCTTGTCCTGCCACCTTCCTTTTTCTATAAGCTAAACTGTGCCAAACATTGTAACCTTTCTTATAAAGGGATTCTAATCATTTTAGTTGCTCTTTTCTGCATCTTTCCCAGTTTTGCAATAACATTTTTTCAAGTGCAGTGATCAGAATTGTATGCAATATTCTAGATGTGGTCACACCATTTGTTTCTGTAAGCAAGAAACAATGCTGATTTCTTTTTTATTCCCTTTCTTTAAAAATATCCAGCCTGGTGATTAGTCTTCCTACAGTGGCTGTACTAGGTTCTTGTGGGTTTTTTCGGGCTATAGAGCCATGTTCTAGAGGCATTTCTCCTGACGTTTCGCCTGCATCTATGGCAAGCATCCTCAGAGGTTGTGAGGACCTCACAACCTCTGAGGATGCTTGCCATAGATGCAGGCGAAACGTCAGGAGAAATGCCTCTAGAACATGGCTCTATAGCCCGAAAAAACCCACAAGAACCTAGTGATTCCAGCCATGAAAGCCTTCGACAGTGGCTGTACTGTTAACATTTTCATTGGCTTACCTATCAGAATCCTAAGATCCTTTTCTTAGCAAGTTACTGCCACAGTTAAAGTTTGGCTTGGGTCCTGCCTATCTTGCACCCACCCCCCATGAACCGACGTGGGCTCTAAGATCTGCCGGGGAGGTGCCTCCTCTCAGTCCCACCACCATCACAAGTGGAGTTGGTGGGGACAAGGGAGAGGGCCTTCTCAGTGGTAGATTCCTGGCTTTGGAAGGCCCTCCCCAGGGAGATTAGACAGGCCCCCACAGTGTTCTCCTTTCATAGGGACTTGAAAACTTGGCTACTTAAACAAGCTTTTGAGAACACCTAGTCCCTAGTTGTTCTGCGTAACAATCACACAGCCTGCACTTCGTCCCATGCCATCTCTCCATTGATACAGCTCTGTACTTATCCCATTCCCTTGTCCTATTTTTTACAGCCCGGCCACATTTGCAGTGGCTTACTGCCATTGGGTTGCAAAAGTCCGATATGTCAGATAAGTGGGGGCTTCCTATATTACTGCGCAATATGCAGTGGTGAATTTATTTGAATCAAGTTGTTGAAATTTGCAAATACTCTCCAGGATGTTTCTGTTTTTCATTTGTTAGCTTCCTTCATTCTTCTCCCTGCTGTGCTATCCTTAGGGTTCGGCAGGAAGGAAACCCCACTCTGTTCTGCATCCACAAGCCCTCCTCCGTCAGAATAAAGGAGAGGGCACACTGCATCTGTGGCTACATGCCTACACACCCAGAGGTGGGTGTGGGTAGCTGTAGCCAGTTGTATGTAAGCAAAGCAAGAGCAAGATGGGTGAGCTGAAACCTCTTTTGGCTGGCTGGTTTGATGGCCACTGCCTGTCATAGCCTGTGCTCATCTAGCTTTGGCTGAGTCTGTCCGGGATGCTGGGCTGAGCTGGGTCAGCAGTGCCATTTGAAGAAAGCTATTTTGGGGTGTGGGGTGGGGAGAACATCCATGTGCTTATTTGTTCAGTAAGTCCTGAACAAATAAGCACCAATTTTCACAAAGAAAATATAAGCTAACTAAAATGGATACAAAGTGGTGGTTGCTGTACTACTGCTAATAATAATAATTATGATTATACTGATAGTAATACTGATAATTATTAGTATGACTCTTTACTTATATTTATATAAAAGGCTTTTAGGATGACCCCTTTCTACAATTTTAGCAGATTGAATTTGCTCATTTTTAACGCTGAGGTGAAAACGGTCAAAGCTTGAGTTTTAATAATAGCAATAGCAACTCAGAACTAAAGCTATTCATTGTTCTTTCACTTATCATTTTACTTATTAAAAGTTAATAATAAGCTAATAAACGTATTAAAAAGTTAATAAACGTTGCCCAGGGGATGCCCAGATGTTTTACCATCCTCTGGGAGGCTTCTTTCATGTCCTTGCATGAAAAACTGGAGCTGACAGACAGGAGTTCACCCTATTCCCGCATTCAAACCCTACTCCCCAGATTCAAACAAATGTTTTAGTAAGGAATTGTCTGTCGTTTCAGTTAGAGTAAGGCCACTTCTACACTGCCATATGTAAAGAAGCCTCCAGTGGCACAGTGAGTTAAACCCTTGTACCGGCAGGACAGCTGACCGAAAGGTCGGCAGTTCGAATCCAGGGAGCAGGATGAGCTCCTGTCTGTCAGCTCCAGCTTTTCATGCGGGGACATGAGAGAAACCTCCCAGAGAATGGTAAAACATCTGGGTGTCCCCTGGGCAAAATCCTTGCAGACGGCCAATTCTCTCACACCAGAAGCAACTTGCAGTTTCTCAAGTCGCTCCTGACACACACACAAAAACCTACCATGTAATTCAGATTATCAAATCAGATAATCTACACTATCTGCTTTAAATTGGATTATATGAGTGTATACTGCCATATAAACCAGCTCAAATCAGATAATCTGGATTTTATATCTCAGTGTAAAAGGGGCCTAAACCACTGTCAATGACTGGATACAAAGATTGGTCAATGACTCATAAGTGACAAATTCTTAATCCAAAACATTTTGAGTGACTCTGAGCACATGCAGAAAGTTCTTTTCTGTACAACCGAATCACTGCATCCTCTCTTCCTCAGTTCTCCCAAACCAAAAGATTGTGATCTTCTCCAAGAAGCGGTAGAGCGTATGGTCTGCACTTAGAGACCAGCCATTGCTGCTGTCAAAATTTCTTGTCTAAAGGACCAAGTATTTGCAACAGATTTTTCAGTGAGCTGCCAAAGACCAAATGAGTCATTTTATTGTTTTATCATTTTATGCAACTAACAAGAGAGGAGGGCACTTGGACTTGAAGTGCTAGGTTAGCACAACACATGGTCTTTTCTTAGAAAGTCTTGTTAGAATAATCAGGCAATGCTTTTGTGCAATTTAGATTGTAATTCTGAATGTAAATTTTGCTGTCACATCCCTAGACCTAATGGGTTGTTGTTGTTGTTTCTTTTAAAGGGTAGGTATTAATTAATACGATTTTCCTGAAGTACTAAGTGTATGCATTCATTTATATATAATATTTGTTTATCTGAAGAATAATGTGTCATTTCAGAGGCTTCGTGGTGAGTTGCCGCTCAGTCCAGAAGAGCTGGAGAAAGTATTTGATAGCCTAGATGCAGATGGCAATGGTTCACTTACTCCAGAGGAATTCACCACAGGACTCAGTGAGTTTTTCAAATGCTCAGAAACTATTCAGAAAGTTCTTAATTTCCTCCCTATGGACAAACTCATATATTCACCTGTCTGTACAAGTGGGGACAACAGGAAAGGAGATTCCACCTGAACGTTAGGAAGAACTTCTTGACTGTGAGAGCTGTTCAGCAGTGGAACTCTCTGCCCCAGAATGTGGTAGAGGTTCTTTCTTTGTAGGCTTTTAAGCAGAGGCTGTATAGCCGTGTGTGTGTGTGTGTGTGTGTTTGTGTGTGCTTTGAATGCAATTTTTCCACGTCTTTACAGGCGGTTGGACTGGATGGCCCACGAGGTCTCTTCCAACTCTATGATTCTATGATTCTAAGTCTTGTTTTCTTGCATGGTCTGACCTGAATGACCCTTGACCCTCCAACAGTTTTTGAACACATGAAGTCATATGAGTATCTTTTACCTTTTTGGTATGGCCCTATGCCACTGTAAATACAATTTCACTCCTCCTATTTTGTTACACTCCAGAGTAGTGATCCTTGGAAACTGCAGCAACTGTTCATATTAATTCTTATTTGGCAGTCACAGTAATATTTAAATTGCCAAAGAAATCAAATTAAATAATCATATTCCATATTGTTTCTATTAAAAACAATTATAAAAATAGTCATTGATACTTTGGAGTACCAGACTAAAATCCCCCAATAACATCCACATCAATGCAAAAATAATATTCATTCAGCAATATTCCAGTGGATCACATCCAAATAATTCACGTTATATGACTCATTCTTTCAGAAACATGAAGATTCCAATGTCTAGTTTTATATATATATATATATATATATATATATATATATATATATGTTCTCACTATATATATATTAGTGTGTGTGTGTGTGTGTGTATATATATATATATATATATATATATATATATATATATATTAGTGTGTGTGTGTGTATATATATATATATATATTTACATCTATTGGAGGTCATACTCAAAACTTTAAAGAAAGCTGCTTTAACTCCTCCTATATTAGACAATCAAATAGGTATTGAAGGAGGCATTCATGTCTGCTGGCACTGTGTGAGCAACTTCCATCTCTATCGTTGATCTGACAATAAGAGCCTTCAACTATAGCATAGCTGATAATTATAGGAGTCTGGTGAACACACGTGATAAATTGGTGAACAGGAGTGATAAACTGAGTTATCTGGGAGAGGGAAGTTGTATTCTGATATGTATACATTTGTCAGGAGATACTACTTCAATTTCTATTGAAAGAATGGGGCAAAAAGTAAAAGAACTCAACAAAAAGAAGGGAAAATAACTTAAATAAGCACAGTCTTTGGTATCTCTACACAATGCACAACTTATGGGAAATAAACAAGATGAACCTGAAGTCTTAAAACATGAACGCAGATATGATATAATTGATTTCATTGAAACCTGGTGGAACAAGTCTCATTATTGGAATGCAGTAATCAAATGTTCTAGCCTATTTATGAAAAAATAGACTAAATAGGAAAGAAGGGGGGTAGCATTGTATATCAAGGATGTTTATACCTGTAAGGAAGTCCATGATATAAATTCTGGGAGCCAGTTTTTGAGAGCATCTGGTTAAAAATTAAGGAAGAAAGAAACAGTAAGGATGTCATGGGGCGGGGGGGGGGGGGGGTCTACTACAGACATCCAAGCCAGATTAAGGACTTGGATGATGCTTTCCTAAAACAGATGACCACATATTCAGAAAGAAAATATGTAGTAGTGATAAAATATTTTAATTACCCTAATATTTGTTGAAAGACAGACTCTGCCAAGAATATCAAGTCCAAAATCAAGGTGTGTCTTAGAATGGATGGTGTTGCTGTATCACAGATTTTTTAAAATTTAGTACGTTTTGCTATCGTGAGAATTTTGGTTTGGGTGGGCATCTTATAATCGATGAAATAAGGTATTAGGACTTAACAGAAAAGAGACTATAAAAGGTTTCTCTCTTCTCTGTAATGATCACACACACCTCTCCCCTGACATCAGGAAATGCAAAAGAGGAGGAAGGTAACAGTAAAGTTGACCTTCTGTCTTTATTCGCTTTCAGTCAATATTTAAGGGCAATAATATATGTTCTCACTGTGCAAAGAAAAGTTTCAAAACAAGAAATAGATTACTCTGTTTACTTGGGGAGGGAAAAATAAATATTTACTTTGGTGGTATTTCAAAATTACTTACAGACCATTCATTGGGCATTGTTCTGTATATGTTTACTGCGAAATATTTTTTTCAGTTGTCCCCAAAAATATCTCTTTGGTAGAATTTAATATACACATGCTAAGAGCAGGAGTTAAAAATGTTGTTCTTTTCCAGAACGTGTTTTTACATTCATGTTAGCTTTCTGAGTTGCATGTTTAATTTCCCAACCTGTTGGCAAATATTTGAATTTCCTTTGAGTACTGTATACTTCAATAAATCACATTGTTTTGAAATCTGCAGACCAATTTTTGCTTGGAAAGAAAGGATCAATTTCTGAAATACAAAGATGCGAACTCGAAAATCAGTATCAACCTCAATGGGAAGAAGGCAACAAAGATATTGATGAGGAAGATCAGTTCTCAGATCTTATGGAGAGGGTTGGAGCTAGTAATACCTTTAAAGAGTAAGTACTCCCATCAAAACATCAGAGAAGCCAGAACATTATATGGCACATCACTTCATATAGCGTACCAATTCTCCCTACATGTACAGTTTCACAAACTCCCTCTTCCATAGAAGCACAGAGTTGGAAGGGACCTCAAAGGCCATCAGGGTCTTCAGCTGGAGCTGTCCAACCACTCTGTGAAGATGTCCAGAGAAAGATATCCCACCACTTTGCTAGGCAATGATTCCATTGTTGAACCATTCTTACTGCCAAGAAGTTCCACAGTACATTAGGAAACAAGGCAATATTAGGTTCACTCCTTCATATTTTGTCTACTTTTCTTCTCATCTTCTGTGAAATATACCAAGAACCCAAGGTGAAACAGTCAGGATGAGACAGAGATGCTTAATAGCTGCTGTAGCTGAATAATTTAACAGTCCGGTACGCTATCCCGTCCATAATTTTGTGATAATTCCATTGAAATCGAAAGTACTCAAGGGCATATTTGTGAGCATAGACCTACACATGTTCCTGAAAAGCAGGAAAGGAAGCCCATGAAGCTGAATGCAGTCCATCAGCCATTTGATGTGGATTGGTAATCTTGACAATTTTATATTTTTGTACTCCTTTACAGGTAACCTGAGAGTGAGGTAGGATAGCTTTCAAATTAATGCAATAAAACTCAGACTAGGACAGTGGTTCTCAGTGTTTTGGCCTACAATTCCCAGAAATCCCAGCAAGTTTTCCAGTTGTTAGGGTTTCTGGGAGTTGAAGGCCAAAACATCCGGGTAACCCACGGGTTGAGAACCCACTGGACTAGGATCTAAATCAATTATACCAAATGATTGAATCAATTGGATTTATATGAGCATTGATTTATATTTCAGTAATTGATTTAATGGTGGTTAATGGTTTAGGTCTGGGAATTGAACAAGATCTAGCTCACATTAATGTAGTGGTTCTCAACCTGTGGGTCCCCAGGTGTTTTGGCCTAAAACTCCTAGAAATCCTAGGCAGTTTACCAGCTGTTAGGATTTCTGGGAGTTGAAGGCCAAAACATCTGAGGACCCACACGTTGAGAACCACTGCATTAATACAACATGTGTTTCATGGGAACTAGTGGCTCTCCAACTTTCATCTTCTTTACTGTTTTGGATTTCAGCTTTCAGAAGCCCATGCCAGTTTGAACAATGTTAGGCATTCAGAAGGTGGAGGATCCATTTTTAAGAACCACCTCCCAGTAATAGGACTTATAATCACATAGCCCTCCATATGAGGTTGTTCTACAGTTCCAGCAGTCCTCACCATTCACTATTCTGACTAGAAATGCTAGAACTTGCAGTCCAACAACATTGGGAGGTTCATATGATTCCTTCTGTCAACAATGTAGATGTGTGACATGTGCATTCCTCCCTCACAAAAATGTGTGAGTCAAGGATCAATGCCGATGTGGCTTCCAGATATGTGGGTTCACATAAGGGTGGAACAAATCTGACTGATGGGCAGTTAGAAGCTGAGACAGTGAGATTCCAGAAAGGGTAGTCTCCGTACCCGGTATTTGTACCCAGTGTGTTTAATAGCAAAAATCTATTTAAAAAGGGGGAGATTTCAGATTTGTTGTTCATTTGTTCAGTCACTTCTGACTCTTCGTGACCACGTGCACCAGCCCACATCAGAGCTCCCTGTCGGCCGTCACCACCCCCAGCTCCTTCAAGGTCAAACCAGTCACTTCAAGGATACCATCCATCCATCTTGCCCTTGGTCGGCCCCTCTACTCTTTTCCTTCCATTTTCCCCAGCATCATTGTCTTCTCCAAGCTTTCCTTTCTTCTCATGATGTGGCCAGAGTACTTCATCTTGGCCTCTACTATCCTTCCCTCCAATGAGCAGTCGGGCTTTATTTCCTGAAGCATGGACTGGTTGGATCTTCTGGCGGTCCAAGGCCCTCTCAGAACATTCCTCCAACACCACAGTTCATCTTCCTTTGCTCAGCCTTCCTTAAGGTCCAGCTCTCACATCCGTGACTATGGGGAATACCATTGCTTTTACTATGCGGATCTTTGTTGCCAGCGTGATGTCTTTGCTCTTCACTATTTTATCAAGATTGGTCAGAATGGGAATAAAAAAACACCCCCCTCACCTCAGTTTCTGGCACCCTGAAATTGAAAATCCCTCTTTTAAAATGATATATATTCCAAATCCTGCTTTGGAAATGTTAATGCTGCCGTAGCCTTGGAAAATGTGCTTATTGAAAATGTTTTTTCTTTCTTCAGAGAGAACAATGTAGAAAAACTCTGGTTGCACCTGAAGAGAAATGAACCTCACTTGCTTTCCAGTTTTGAAGTATTCCTGGCAAAAGTATTTTCTCAGCTCCAAGAAGTGAACTATGAAAAGAATGCACTGGAGTGTGCCCTGCAAAAGTTAGTGTCTCTTCCCTTCCCTTCCTTTCCCTTCTTGAAACAGATCATGTCCTTTTCACTTTTACTTGTACCCGGAGGGATCTCTCTCTCACACACACATTTTCTCTCTAGTTAAGTAGCATCCTTAGGCAGAGTAGTTATTGTTAGTTGAAAATAGGTAAGAAAAGAAATGATCATAGTAAATGAAGCAGGATCTTGCTACATGACGGAAAGATGGAATATACGTATAATAATCGTGTAGTGGTTTAAGTGTTGTACTATGACTCTAGAGAAGAGGGTTTGAATTCCCACTCAGCCATCGCTACCCACTGGATATGTCACTCTCTTTCAGGCTCAGAGGAAGGCAAAAGCAAACTGCCTCCAGACAAATATTATCAAGAAAACTCTGTGCTAGGGTCACCACAAGAAGATCTTAACTTGGAGCCCCTGCTCTCAGTCCCGCCTCCTTCACAAACACAACTGGTAGGGATGAGAAACCGAGACTTCTCAGTGGTGGCCCCTTGGCTGTGAAACTCCCTCCCTAGTGAAATTAAATCAGATCCCTCCCTCCTGACCTTCAGAAAGAAATTAAAAATGTGAATGTGTGACCAAGCTTTCAGACAGTAGTTTTTCAGTGTAATAAGTGAATACGGAATAGTGCAATGACAGCTGAAACGGCTTCAGGCTATGTTTTGGAACAACATGGTTTTAATAATTAGTTGAGTTTAGATGCTTTTAACTTATTGGTTTTAATGTACCATATTTTCTGGAGTACTAGGCGACTGGGCGCATAAAACAACCTCCCAACTTTTCCATTTAAAATTTCAATTTTTGGATATACTCGCCCTATTAGACTACCCCTCTTGCCAGCCCCTTCAGCCTGCAAAGCCTCCTTTCCTGGGCTCTGAGGTGGCTTCTTGGCTCCATAGAGGCGACCTCCCCTCCACCGGCAGCCAGGCTCCGCCACAGCCAGCCAACCGACGTGCTCATCACTTCCTGTATTGGATCCAAAACAAGATGGAGGCTCCTAACAAGTGAGGGAGATGTGCAGCTGCTCTACACTGGAGCAGGGTGCCCAAAGCAGCAGCAGCTGCTGCACTCCTCCAGCGCTGTTTGTTTCCTGCTGCAGGGCTTCAGCCTCACCAAAGGGCTCTTCCACTCTATTCCCACCTTGGCTGTCAGTGTGGCAGCGGAGGAGGTGATATACTCGCCGGATGGCCACGTCATCTCCTCCACTGCCGCCACATGGACAGCCGAGGTGGGCCTGAAGTGGAAGAGCTCCTCGGTGAAACTGAAGCTCAGCAGTGGGAGACAAGCAGCGCCGGAGGGCAGCCCTTGGGTTCTGCTTGTCTCCTGCTGCTGGGCTTCTCCACACCAGGCCCACCTTGGCTGTCAATGTGGTGGCGGCGGCGGAGGCAATGCGGACATCCAGTGAGTATATCACCTCCTCCTCCGCCGCATTGACAGCCAAGGCTGGCCTGGAGTGCCTCAGTGAAGCTGAAGCCCGGCAGCGGGAGACAAGCAGAACCCCAGGGCTGCCCTCCGGCCTCTTGTCTCCCACTGCTGAGCTTCAGTTTCACCGAGGGGCATTTCCACTCCAGGCCCTCCTTGGTTATCTGTGTAACGGCGGCGAAGGAGTAGGAGGAAAAAGAAGAGGAGGCGACACGGCCATCCAGCGAGTATATCGCCTCCTCATCCACCGCTGCACTGACAGCCAAGATGGACATAGAGTGGAAGAGCCCCTCGGTGAGGCTGAAGCCCAGCAGCGGGAGACAAGGCGCACTGGAGGAGTGCAGCAGTTGCTGCTGCTTCGGGCGCCCTGCTCCAGCGCAGGGTAGCTGCCTGCCTCCCTCGTCTCGACCCAAAACAGGAAGTGATTTTTATACCCAGTGTACTAGACAACCCCCAAGTTCAGCAAGGATTTTCCAGGGTTAAAAAGTCAGCTAGTACACCGGAAAATACAGTATATGTTTACTTCATTTGCATGTATTTTTGTGCAGCATCAAATTGTTGCCTACTCTAAGCCACACTGAGTCCCCTTCGGGGTGAGAAGGGCAAGGTATAAATATAGTTAGTAAATAAATACATTAATAAATAAGTCAGGAACAATTTTGAAGGCACATAACAAAAAACAAAGCAGTTGCGGATAAAAAATAGGCTGTATTCAAGTATCAATCCCATAAAGTGCCTAGGTTTCCTCTTGGTAGTGGTGGCTACTTGTAGTATTTCCCGGTTTTCTTCATTTTACAAAACTCCTGCTTCCTGTGGCATGAGTGGAGAGCACTGCTGTATTTGGATCACTCAGCTGTTCAAACTGCCACGTAGGTAGAACAGGTCTGCAATTGTTCCATGAGAAACAGAATATTATGGGCGTATTACACTGGATGCACTTCAGGTACACTGAAGTATGATGACGCTTTATTGGTTATAAGCAGATGGTAAATGGATGCAGTATTAGACATAAGAAAGCAAAGGAAGCAAGTTAATTTCCTTCTAGCATAGCTGAAGTGTATACAGCTAAATACCTTGAAACTCTGATACTCCTGTGCCCACAAGACACCCTAGACATGAAGACATTTTTCCTCTCTCTACTACGGCTTAAACAAAGGGGTATCCCCGACACGATATTGATGCTTTCAGTTTGGAAAGGGAAACCTTCATAAGGGGAGATGCCTTTGAAGCTTCAAATGGTCCAATGAATGGCAGCCAGATTGCTAACAATTGCTCAGGGAGCATACAACTCCTCTATTTTGCCAGCTCCACTGGCTGCCAGTTTGCTACTAGGCACAATTCAAAGTGCTGTCTTTAGCCTATAAAGCCCTAAAAGGTTCTGGCCCAACTTACATGTCCGAATGCATCTCCCCTTATGAACCATCTAGGACCTTAAGATCTTCTGGGGAGGCCCTGCTCTCATTACCACCTTTGTCACAAGTATGTTTGGCGGAGATGAGAGACAAGGCTTTCTCGGTGGTGGCCCCTCGGCTGTGGAACGCCCTCCCTATAGATATTAGATTGGCCACCTCCTTTTTAATATTCTGGAAAAAGTCAAGACATGGCTTTTTGAACAAGCATTTGCAAATGCAGAGTAATTGACACAGGAAAATGGAACGACTAGACAACATTTTAACAAGGAGAGTCCAGACAACGCTTTTAACAAGGAGACACTATGAATTTATATTTTATTGATTTGTTTAGTTTTTATTATATGTTATGTTTTTAATTGTATCTATGACATTGCAAGCATTGAATTTTGCCCTGTTAACCGCCTTGAGTCGCCTACGGGCTGAGAAAGGCGGTATACAAATACACTAAATAAATAAATATTTTTTCCTTATATACCATGTTAGACATTTAGATCCTTTTGCACAACTCCAAAAATTCCACAATATCTACTTTGAACTGGAATATATGGCAGTGTGGATTCAGGTAACCCAGTTCAAAGCAGATAATTGTGGGATTTTCTGCCTTGATATTCTGGGTTATATGGCTGTGTAGAAGGGCCCGTCGTCTAAAAAAATCAACACAAGGGGCTCCTCCACTCCATACATATAATTTATGTATGAAATGAAGCGTGTGTCCATTCTCCTATCAGAACACAAAGATGTCACTACCTCAGCCAACAATCTGGACAATTTTGGATTTTTGTCTATTTTGGATTTTGGATAAGGGATATTCAACATGTATTCTCATTTTCTTGCATGACTTTCAAGGGATTATAAAGCTCAGGCAAAGAGAAAGAGTAATGTATATAGAACCCTAAGCAACTTAGAATACACATCATCATAGCAATAGAAAAGGATGAATCAGAAGCTCAACAACTGCACTCCCTTGCCAATTTCCCCAATACCAAACTAGTGACTACAATAGGTAATATAGCTTTGATTTTGAAGAATCATGTCATTTTCATCACACAGAGACTATCAGGGAGCGTGCAAATCCTCTGTTTTGCCAGCAGATCTCAGACTCCTCAGGTCTGCCACACTTTGAGCATTATTAGATTGAGTTTTTCCCCTCGTTTTGACTAGGAAAATTGCAGCTTATGATGAAGAAATCCAGCACCTCTATGAGGAAATGGAGCAGCAGATCAAAAATGAGAAAGAAGCATTCCTCTTGAAAGCAAGTATTTCATTAATATTGATTCTCCCTGATTCACAGCATCTTATTTCTTCAGAACACTTCCTGTATTGTTTGAATAACAACATTATAGGGTTGAAAGTCCACTTCCGTTTAAGAGAAGAGTTAAGGCATTCACAAATGAACCCATGAACCAGGGAACATAGCATGCTTATCACATACAATTCTGTTCTGCATCAAGAGGAGCCCAGTGTCCAAGGCCCTATCTACACTTCCATATAAAATCCAGATTATCTGCTTCAAACTGGATTATATAGCAGTGTAGTCTCATATAGTCCCATTCAAAGCAGATAATGTGGGTTATCTGCTTTGATAACCTCAATTATATGGCAGTGTAGAAGGGACCCAGATCAAGGGAATTAGCAGTATTCTGTTTTAATAACCTTTGATCAGACCTCACTTGGACTATTATTGTCGTGAATGACTTTTCAATAACTTTAAAGCATAGATTCTTTTTATTGCAAATTTCCAGTGTGAGAGGGTATATCACATTACAGAAAACATTTAGACATACAGACATCGGACATACAGACATACAGATTCTATGCAACTACATTGGATTTACAATTACATGGCTAACAAACAAACAAAGGAGAATTACATTTTCACTCAACATTCAAACACATGTATGCGCATTCAAATACTGCCATATCCTTTTCTCTCTCCTTGGAGAAGCACCTATTAGGCCAGGCCCTGCTTTCCTGCAGCCTGCCAATGCACAGTTCCAAAATTTCCATAACTTCAAAATGCATCATTTCACTAAGAACAATGCCAAGGACCAGATCTCTGTTTTCCATACAGCAGAACCTGACTCCCTGCACAAAATCTAAGACTCCAAAAGCACTTATTCCTCTTCCCTTGAGAAAGAAGCCCCAAAGTGACCAGACTGCTCCTTGCAAACCTGCCACTCCATGGTACACTATCTCTCTCCTTCCCATGGAGCAGAGCATAGTAGATAGAACGTACTCCTCAGGTCTGGCACACTTTGAGCATTATTAGATTGAGTCTTTTGTAGGAATATTCTGCTGATGTTATCCCAAAGTTGTAAATTAATGATAGACGTCTTCCATCCTGGTTCCATCTCAGTTTCCTGCCCAGATGTTGATCTTCTTGATTGGTTTTGATCTTATGTTGACTTCCTTCTTAACATTGTAAACATTTCTGTTGTCACTGTCCCAATTCTTATCAGAGTTTTCATTTCTTATTAGCAGGTTTTAATCACAGTCCAGAAAGCAGGTAGTTAGTCATTTCAGGCCCCAATACTCCATTGGTGCTTCCAAAATTACAACTCCATCCATACATTCATCTTCCATTCTTCCATTCATCCCCACACATCATCAGTGGAGTTCAGAATGCTCTTTGATTGTAGGTGAACTATAAATACCAGCAACTACAACTCCCAGATGACAAAATCATTTTTTTTAATGATGGTCACTCCTTGGGTTAGTAGTTAATGTAGTTAAATGTGGTTAATTTGGTGACAATTTGTCCAGTGGTTTTTGAGTTATGTTAATCCCACAAACGAACATTACATTTTTATTTATATAGATGGGGAATTCACAGTGCATTTGTATAAGTTTGAATGTGAACCTTTACCTGCATTGCTTTAAAAGAATGGTGTGTGCCTCTATTTATGTTCTTTATGGTTGTTCCTTCTAATCTTGTAGGACACTGCAAGGTTCCAGACCCGAAGTCAGGAGCTTGAGCATAAACTTGAAACAAAAGAACAGGAACTGGAACAACTGGCGCAAAAACAGAAAAGAGTATGTATGTTCATGCTTTTTATATTTTCATGGGGGTATTATGAAATGCTGTCATATGATTTTATTTGCCATGGGAAGGAAATCCTCAAATTCTGAATCCTCAAGCAATCCCCAAATGATCTACTTTCATTTGTATTCATGTGTTTCTTTCTGAATGTGGGGCCCCTTCTACACTGCCATATAAAATCCAGATTATCTGTTTTGAACTGGATTATATGGCAGTATAGACACATATAATCCAGTTCAAAGCAGAAAATCTGGATTAAGTAGCAGTGTAGAAAGGGCCTGGATCACCTGGTAAGGGAGAAAGAGAGGTTTTTCTTCTCCTGGTTTCTCCATTCTTATCTGCTTCTCCCATTTTCATTTTAAGTTCTCACCTATTTTAGAACAAGGTCAGCATTTGGAAAATGCTGTGGAAATATTTCAATAAGCAATTTGACAAGGTTCCCCATGATAACCTCACAAAGAAGCTAGCAAAGTCTGTCTTTGTGACCGCATCTCCCCTATGAACCGGCGCAAGCTCTAAGATCTGCTGGGAAGGCCCTTCTCTCGCTCCCACCATCATGACAAGCATGGTTGGTGGGAACGAGAGAGAGGGCCTTCTCGTTGGTGACCCTCCAAGATTAGACAAGGCCCTTCACTGTCTTCCTTTCATAAGGATCTGAAAACCTGCATGTTCCAACAAGCATTTGAGAATGACTTGTCCCTACTTATAAGTGCCCAGTCGCTAGCTCACTTCTTCCAATCCCCCAGCCCACCGTTTTGGACTATCCCGGGCACAAGCCTCTTTGTATCCTGATCATGCCCATCTTAGTTTTCTGGTTTTTGGCTTTTGTTGTGTATTGTTTGAGTAAATTTAATACTGCTGTTTTAAATCCTTATGTTGTATTTTATTTGATTGTTATGTTTTGCTATGTTTTATTTTAATTGTGCTTTTTGTTTTACTGGATTGTTTTGTTTTGGCATTCTGTGGACATTTTGTCCCATGTGTAAGCTGCCCCAAGTCCTTTCAGGGAGATGGAGGCAGGGTATAAAAATAAAATTATTATTATTATTATTATTATTATTATTATTATTATTATTATTGGGTTGTTGTAGGTTTTTTCGGGCTGTATGGCCATGTTCTAGAGGCATTTCTCCTGACGTTTCGCCTGCATCTATGGCAAGCATCCTCAGAGGTGACCTCTGAGGATGCTTGCCATAGATGCAGGCGAAACGTCAGGAGAGAATGCCTCTAGACCATGGCCATATAGCCCGAAAAAACCTACAACAACCCAGTGATTCCGGCCATGAAAGCCTTTGACAATACATTATTATTATTATTATTATTATTATTATTATTATTATTATTATTAAAACAAGTTGTACCCACCATGCGTTGCTGTGGCCAATCTTCCCTGCCTCTTTTTCTCCTTCCTTCCTTCCTTCCTTCCTTCCTTCCTTCCTTCCTTCCTTCCTTCCTTCCTTCCTTCCTTCCTTCCTTCCTTCCTTCCTTCCTTCCTTTTTTCTTTCTTTCTTTCTTTCTTTCTTTCTTTCTTTCTTTCTTTCTTTCTTCCTTCCTTTCTTCCTTCCTTCTTTCCTTTCTTCCTTCTTCCCTTCCTTCCTTCCTTCCTTCCTTCCTTCCTTCCTTCCTTCCTTCTTCCTTCCTTCCTTCTCTTCCTCTTCCTTCCCTCCCTTTTCTTTCCCTTCCTCTTTCTCCCCTTTCTTCCTTCTCTACCTATTCTTGGACTGCAACTCCCAGCAGTCCTCCTGATCGATCTATCTACCTACCTATCTCTATCTAATCTATCTATCTATCTGGAGGATTGCTGGGAGTTGCAGTCCAGGAATAGGAAATTGGAAATATGCAAGGATTGGGATGCTCTCAAAGAAATCCAAGGAGAAGAAAGCTTGCAGTTTGGAAGCAGTGCATTTGGATCATCGTCCTCTCCTAAAGGGCCTGGTCTAGGGGATGCTGGGAGCTGTAGTCCAGAAGAGAGTGTGAATATGCTGTTGTGTGTTTTGTTTGCCAGGAGAGTCATTTTGCACATGCGCTGTAGCATCTTTTTGCTTTTTTTGGCTTTTTAAGTCCCTTCCACTGTGTTTTTCAGTGTTTTTATGAGTGATGGTCATTCATTGGCCCAATAGGTGTACTGTGTCCAAATTTGGTGTCAATTCGTCAAGTGGTTTTTGAGTTATGTTAATCCCGCAAACTATTTTATTTATATAGATGAGGGCTAGACAATGCTACTGTTAGATAGATTGGGAATTGGTAAACAGCCCAAACCCAAAAGGCTCTTCATTTTGGAGAGATGTGTCCAGTGGGAGCCACTGGGTTTTGTCCTGGACTCATTGTACAATATCTTTATCAACGACTTGGAAAATGTACTAGAATGCATGCTTATCATGTGTGCAGATGACACTAAATTGGGGAGGACAGGTAATACGCTAGCGAACAGGATCACAATCCAAACTGACCATAACAATTTAGAGAGCTGGGCCAAAAGTAACAAAATTAATACTGTGTCCAATTCTTGGCAGCACAATTCATGAAGGATATTGACAAGCTAGAACATGTCCACAGAAGGGAGACCAAAACGATGAAACCCTATGAGGAACAGCTTAGGGAGCTGAGTATGTTTAGTTTTGAGAAAAGAAGGCTGAGAGGTGACACGATAGCCATGTTTAAATATTTGAAATGATGTCACATTGAGGAGGGGGCCAGTTTGTTTTCTGCTGCCCTGGAGACTAGTACATGGAGCAATGGATTCAAATTGCTGGAAATAGGTTCCACCTAAATATTGGGAAGAACCACCTGATGGTAAGAGCTGTTTGACAGTAGAATATGCTGCCTCAGATTGTGGGAGAGTCTCTTCTCTGGATGTTTTAAAACAGGCTGGATGGCCATCTACCGGAGTGCTTTGATAGTATTTTCTTGCATGGCTGGGGGTTGGACTAGATGGCCCTTGTGGTCTCTTCCAACTATGATTTTATGATTCTGCGCATTTTACATTTCCACAATGATAACTCATTAAGTAGAATGCAACCTCCCAAATATATGATTTGTCAGTTGCTGTCTTTATTCAAGATTTAAGTTGGCTAAATATATTACATTTAGTCTAGCAAGTCATAGAAACATCTTTATATTCAGCCTTTGCCAATTTTGATGGATAATACCCCTTTAAATGCCTCTGAAGATATTTGCCTTAGTCTTCCCCTTTCCTCTCCCTTGCTGGCTATATAGTCCCTTGGCTCTTTATTTCAGGTGCTTTGGTGTGGCAGATGAAAAGCCAGATAAACACATGGCTGTTGAGTTTCCTGCTTCGCCCACAAATGTAAATACGTATGTTTCAATGTTCAGGCTACTATTTACCAAGCCTCTTAACATGTATTTCAGTCAGAGATGTACTGTGGCCCCCGAGTTGCTGTACCATCAATCATGTCCACTGTAGCTTTAATTTGCCAGTATTTAAATCAGGAATTTTTTTTATCTATTGTGTTTAGTTCTTGTTGTGTTTTTAATATTAAATCTCCTTCTTCCTTTTTTAGTATTCCTTTATATGTTGGCCAATCATTCCACCCCATACATCTTCTTTGTCCTGCCTCTAATAGTGATATCCATAGAGGTGTATTATTGTATAATTTATTTTTATATCTCTCTGTTCTGGAACAGCTGTTCCAGGGGCTCCAATTTTGTGTTTTGCACTGAGTGTTTGCTCATAGTCCTAAGTTTCAGAGACTTTGCAGATAGGTGGCTTCCTTTGGCTGCATTCATAGGGCAAGCCACCTGTCAATTATAGTTAGGATCCCTGGTCCCGTCCCTCTCTGGGTTTTTTAGAGAGAAGGGGCCATTTTTCAGTTAGTCTCAGCAAAGGAAGTCAATGCAGAGGATGTGTACAGATGTCCTCCTGTACAAAGGCTTCATCCCTTAAGACTTCCTGGGAGAGAACAGTCTTAAGCCTCTAAAGATTCCCAAAGGTTCCGGGGAAACAGCCTTACAACCTTGAGGAATTCCGGAGGAAATAACAGCTCTAATCATCAAGATCTCCAGCTAAGTGACTACAGGCCTGCTGGTACGTCTTCTCAGTTCTGAGATGCAGTTCAGCCGGTAGTGGATTCAAATCAGTCAGGTTTAGGTTCACAGTAGCCTGGGAGGAGCTAAAAAAGGGGAATTTTCCTGTGAACAAAGTTATTGAAGATAGTGCCTGTTCCCTGTGGACAATTTTGAGAGAACTGGTTTCTTTACCAAGCAAACTTTACAATTCCTGTTTGTTCATCAATAAAACACAGTTATATTTAAGCTCAAGCCTCCTAAAGACTGTTTAATGAGGGAAATTTTCCTAAAGGCTCCTATTCAGGCCCCCTGGCTTCTCGCTGGATTTAAGCCACACATCCTCTCTTAAAGGCGCTTCATTTCAGATCCAGCGGCAACAGAACACTCTCCCATATTTCCAAAATGGATGATCTAATAAAATAGTTTCTGAAATAGACAAATTCTTATTTTTAATAACCACGGCTGAGAGAATTTGTTTTGCGAAACAATGGAAACAAGAAGAAATACCAGATGAAGATGACTGGCTGACGAAAAGGAGATGAGCACTGCTTGTATGTCTCATTTGTATCTGAATGTAAAGGTATTGAATGTTTGCTTATGTAAAAGCTGTAATCCGCTCTGAGTCACCTAGGGGGGAAAGGTTGACTATAAATAAAGTGTATTATTATTATTATTATTATTATTATTATTATTATTATTATTATTATTATTATTATCTTCCTGATTTGAACCTCCAGAACAGTGTTTCTCAACCTGGGGGTCGGGACCCCTGAGTGGGTCGCGAAGGGGTGTCAGAGGGGTCACCAAAGACCATCAGAAAACACAGTATTTTCTTTTCTTTTTAATGTTGCAATTTGCCACCTTTTTTTTTGCTTTTTATTATATATATTTAGTTTAATACATACACAACATTTATAGTTCCCACCACCATGAGGATTGTTTTCTTTTACATATTAATCCTTTTTGAGATGAACCTTATAGATTAACATTCTATATTACATTTGTCTCCTATTTCTTTCTTTTTCTTTCCGTCAGAAAACACAGTATTTTCCGATGGTCATGGGGATTCCATATAGGAAGTTTGAGCCAATTTTATCGTTGGTGGAGTTCAGAATGTTCTTTGATTGTAATGAACTATAAATCCCAGCAACTACCACTCCCAAAAGTCAAGGTCTATTTTCCCCAGGCTCCACCAGTGTTCACATTTGTGCATTTTGAGTATTTGTGCCAAGTTTGGTCCAGATCCATCATTGTTTGAGTCCACAGTGCTCTCTGGATGTAGGTGAACTACAACTCCCAAACTCAAGGTCAATACCTACCAAACCCTTCCAGTGTTTTCCGTTGGTCATGGCAGTTCTGTGTGGCAAATTAGGTTCAAATCCATTGCTGGTGGAGTTCAGAATGCTCTTTGATTACAGGTGAACTATAAATCCCAGCAACTACAACTCCCAAATTACAAAATCAATCCTCCCCCAACCCCACTGGCATTTACATGTGGGTGCATAGGGTATTTGTGCCCAGTTTGGTCCAGTGAATGAAAATACATCTTGCATATCTGATATTTACATTATGATTTAGAACAGTAGTAAAATGACTGTTATGAAGTATCAACAAAAACAATGTTATGGTTGGGGGTCACCACAACAGGAGGGACTGTATTAAGGGGTCACGGCATTAGGAAGGTTGAGAACCACTGCTCCAGAAGTTGCTTCTGCAGCCATGATGGCATCCTTGGATGCCAGCTGTCAGTTGCACACAGTAAATAACAACTTCATTTTTAAATATGTCATTTCAATTGAATGTTTATGTGTACAGCAACTGATTGTTAGTTACACGTGTTTCTTCTTTCTTGCACAGCTGGAGGGAGAGTATAAAGAACTGCACAACGACAAACAAGAAACAAAGGTAGAAAACACAAAACTCAGGCTCACAAATCAAGAACTGCAGAACGAACTGGAAAGAACATCGCAGGCACTAGTAATTGCCCAACAACAGTTGCAGGTACTGCAAGAGGAAGCCAAGGAACTGCAGGAAGAAAAAGAAATGTAAGTGATTTCTAGAACTGAGATTACGGCCATGTTGATTCTCCACTTCCATTCAAATGATAATTCTGGGATTGTGGCGCAACTGGCTGAGTGTCAGCTGCATTAAGATCACTCTGACCAAAAGGTCATGAGTTCGAAGCCAGCCCAGGTAGGAGTGGGTTTCCAACCAATTGTGTGTAGCATGTTGTCGACCTTTGCAACCCGAAAGACAGTTGCATCTGTCAAGTAGGAAAATAAGGTACCACCTTAAAGTGTGGGGAGGCTAAATTAACAGATTTATGAGGCCATAAAGAAGACTCCAGCAAAGCATTCCAGCGGGGAAGCATGTGGGGAATGCGGAAGTGCTTCATCAGCGTCGATGAAAGCGACAGCTCCCCTGGCGGCCAGAAAAAAAAAAGTTAAATATAGCCTCTGTGTATGTCAGTATATGTTTGTATGTCAAAAATTGGCATTGAATGTTTACCATATATGTGTACACTGTAATCTGTCCTGAGTCCCCTGTGGGGTGAGAAGGGCGGAATATAAAAGCTGTAAATAAATAAATAAATAAATAAATTCTCAAGGCCACCCAAACATGATTCCCGAGGAAATGAATTGGAGGAAAAATTAATTTGGCAGAAGATTCCCATTTTTTCCTCTTCTTGGTAACTTTGGGGGGCATTTCTTTCTGTGGTTTAAACATTAATTCTTAGTTGATATTGTTCACTTTCAGCATTTTATACCAACTGAAAAATCTGAAAAATTGCTTTTGGCACAGAGAGTATCAGAAAAAATAATCTTCTGCTATGATAAATCTCTCAATAATAATTATAATAATAATAATAATAATAATAATAATAATAATAATAATAATAATAATAATCTTTATTTATATTCCACCCTATCTCCCTGAGGAAATTAATCCCAAATCATCATTTTTCTATTAGCATTTGTGGGATAGTACATCCAGACCATGTTTTTCTTATTTTGAAGGCAGCTATTTATGCTGCTGATACTACATTCAGTCCTGTAGCTTCTGGGAATTGTAGGCCAAAACACCTGGAGACCCACAGGTTGGGAACCACTGCTATAGAACCATGAGAGTTGTATACAATCTTTAGCCAAATAGTGCTGATGCCCAACCATACTACAAATCCCAGATTTCCATAGCATTGAGCCACGGCAGTCAAAGTACATTAAGCCAGGATGTTAACCGGTGCTCCTTACAGAGAGAGGTCAACCCTCCTGTTTAAGGAGCTCCATTGGCTGCTGTTCATTTTCCGGTCCCAATTCAAGGTGCAGGTGCTCATCTACAAAGCCCTAAACGGTTTGGGACCCGCCTACCTGCGTGACCGCATCTCCGTTTATGAACCCGCACGCTCCCTCCGATCATCTGGAGAGGCCCTGCTCACGATCCCACCTGCGTCGCAGGCGCATTTGGTGGGGATGAGGGATAGGGCCTTCTCTGTGGTGGCCCCCCGACTCTGGAACTCTCTCCCCAAGAACATCAGACAAGCCCCAACGTTGGCAGTTTTTAGGAAGAGCCTGAAGACCTGGCTGTTCCAGTGTGCCTTTCCAGAATAGGAAACTCCTGGCAATAAGTCCCAAATGCAGTTTGTTAGAGATTCAGGATTATCTGCACATTGCATCTACCTCCAAATACCTCTACATATTACCTGTCAGGCTCAGCACTTTTAAATTTTTCCATTACATTTGGCCCGGCCTCTAGGTTTTTAATTGTGTCACGGTGTCATTGTTTTACTTTTATTGTTGCTTGATGTTTTATTATTTGCTTATGAGTTTGACTGTGTATTGTATGTTGTTGTTGACAGCCTTGGCCTTTGTAAGCCGCATCGAGTCCTTTGGGAGATTTTGCGGGGTATAAATAAAGATAATAATAATAATAATAATAATAATAATAATAATATTTAATCCTGTAGATGCACTCAATGAAGGAGTAAATCAACACCAACAACAATTTTTATTACGGTCCGTAGACCCATCAGTAAACGAACAGTCATTATGAATTCTCCCATCTCATGAGAAGTTTGTTGTACATGGTTTCAAGTGATAACCCAATCAGAGGTTAATTGCTTTCTCAGACTTGTTGCCACTGCGAGGAATTTTGCCACTATGAGAGTCACCCTGTGGCACTTATCATCTTAAAGATATCTAAAAATCCTCTTTGGGGGATGGCTGGTCATGAGGGACAGGACTGGATATAAAAGTTGGCTATGTTGCACTGTGAAACAGTGGCACTGCAATAAAATGTGTTCTATTGTTTCTATTACATTTCCTCCTCAGGGGCATAGTCTTTGGGAATAGGGAATTCCTATCACTTCTCATCTTTTTAGTTAAGATCAAGTGTAAATCCACTTCAGGTTAATCCAGGCTTTAAAGGTGTTCTGCAAGATGCTTAAACCAATTTTTAAAAATGGTCAGCAACTCTGTGGGTAGTTCCTTCAAAGCTAGTCAAAACCTGAAATAGATTTCACTCCTTACTGCTATGGGAGCCTTCAATATATGATGCGACTACCACCGCTTGTCAAGGTATATCTATATAAATAAAAATGTAATGTTCATTTGTGGGATTAACATAACTAAAAAACCACTGGACCAGTTGACACTAAATTGGGACACAATGCACCTATCGGGCCAGCAAGTGACCATCACTCATAAAATAACTGAAAAACACAGCAGAAGAGACTTAAAAAACAAAAAAAAACCCAAAAATACATTACAACACATGCGCAAAACCACATATATACACAAACACACACATATACACAAATATATACACATATACACAGACTGGGCCACAGCAACGTGTGGCAGGGGATGGCTAGTGTGTTATAAAATATCTCAGCCTGATGACAGCAGCTTGGTTCTGAAAAATAGCACCATGATTTCTGTTCCCTTTTGGTTGACTTAATAAATGTATTTACACAGTATTAGTCAGACTCTAGAATTGCATTGTTTCTTTCTTTTCAATGCTTGAGAATGTTTGCCCACCAGTTCACTGAGATTACCAGGCCTTCTTGAAGAAAGAACGAAAGAAAGAACCACTTGCTTTCCTCCAGACAAGCAGAAATTTGTTTCCAAGGCAGATTTAATTGAAAAACTGTTTTGTATGTCCAAGAACTGCACGTGTGTTTCATCTGAATAGTAGAAATGGACACGTTTTTCATCTCTAATGCAGAATTCAGACTTTAGTGGCAATTTCCAAAAGCAATAAGACAAGTTGGAATGATGGTTTTATTTTCCCCTCTAGGGAGGTTTACAGAGTTACAGAGACACTGCAAAGAGAGAAATCAGGCCTTCTGAAACAGCTGGATTTTCTAAGGTAAGAGTGCAAAGCCAGGATTTTTTTAAAAGCGAGAAAAAGAGACAGGAGGTGTCCAGGCATTTCATAAAGTTATGTGAAGTGTTTGAAGCCCACCCTGCATTCTTTAAGCTGCTTTGCTGTAGTGCTGGAAGATGCTCCGGCCCTTTGCCAGAGATAAAATTAAGATTCAGTGAGTGGAAAGTGACCATGTGTTTTTTCTATTTCAACTGAGTCTACACAATGTCAGGAGCCGACTCCAAGTCTATCTGGCCCTTGGAGAAAGTGGAAGGGGCGGTATTATGTTGTTCTAAATGGAAGGCTTTATTATTTGTTTATTGACTTCCTTATTTAATTTATCATATCAGAAACAAATTGAGAATTTATTTATTTATTTACTGTATTTGTGTACTGCCTTTCTCAACCTGTCGGCGACTCAAGGCAATGCAGTTATATTGTACAGAAAAACCACAAACTTGAAAGTTACAAACTTGGCATTATACTAAATTTCCTTTGACCAGAAGCTGGTCACTTGGAGTGCCTCTGGTGTTGCTGCAAGAATGTCCTCCAATGTGCACGTGGCAGGGCTCAGGTTACCTTGTACTAAGTGGTCTATGGTTTGCTCTTCTCTGAACTCACATGTCGTGGACTCCACTTTGCAGCCTCATTTCTCAAGATTGGCTCTGCATCTCGTGGTGCCAGAGTGCAGTCTGTTCTGCACCTTCCAAGTTTCCCAGTCTTCTATGTGCCCAGAAGGGACTTTCTCATCTGTGTCTCAGCCACTGACTGATGTTCTGGCTTTTATCCTGCCACTTTTGAACTCTTGCTTGCTGAGGTGTTCCTGCAAATGTCTTTGTAGATCTTAAGAAGCTGTTTCTTGATTGGCATGCTGGCTGATATCAAAACAGGGGAAGGGCCAGATATGTCCTTTCATTGCTGGCTGCTACTTCCCGATGGATGTCAGGAGGTGAAATATTGGCTAATACCACGGTGATTTGTAGCATGCAGACAAACAGATTTCCTTATTAAAATACTTTAATAGCACATGAACAAATGTTTAAGCAATATATAAGAACCTGTATGAATAATGTATGAGCAACCCCTGTAGAACAATTCAAAATAGTTTAAAATTGAGGCTTACCTAAGAAAGAAACCAACTGGGACCTTGTAAAAGACTACTTAAAACAGATGAAAATAGATCTCATCTGCTGAAGACATTCAATCTTAAAGGGAAAAGACACAGGAGAAGCAGAATAATCATAACATAATATTAATACCAAATAAACTTAATGACCATCAAAAGGAAGTAAACAAATATCTATCTTTCTTTTTTCTTTTTAGTTTTCAGAGTTTCAAATTTTTCATTTTTTTCTCTTTTTCTCTTTCTTTCCTCTTTTTCTTTCCTCTTTTCTCTCTTTTTCCTACTTTCTATACAAGTTCTCCCACTTTCAATGTAAAGGAAATGCTATCTTTAGATTTCTTTTTTCATTTTCTTTATTTCACGTCATAAAATTTCAATAAAAAAATTCAATCCAAAAATTGAGAAATGATTATAAAAACCAATCCAACTATAAACATTTGAAAAAGAGGACAGCAGACCTCTTGAACTTCTAAAAGGCCATAATAACAACAGTATTGCCTTGGGGACAACAAGTGCAAGCTGTGGAATTTGCTTCTCATTTGGTAATGGAGCACAATACAGAATGTATGCATTCTCTTTTGATAAACGTATTGTACTTCATATCTGGAGTTTGTTTCCAAAAGGTACCAAATCCAACAAAATTGAAAAATGAGTTATTGGTGGCAGCACATTGTTGGCTAGGAGTAGAACGTCATGCACAGATTAAAATTATCAAAGTGTGTCAAATCACTTTTGGTTCAAGGATTGGAAAATGGCCTTTGATAGCAAAAGAATCCACATCCTCAGTACATTTTTTCTATTCCTGTTAAATTGGTTCAAATGGATTTGGTACCTTTTGGGGGGGGGGGGGGGAATCCACATATATGATTACCATCTGGATTTTGCTCCAGAGCAGATCAAGTTTTTAATATAGACATGAAACATGAGCTGTATATTAATGTAATTAGAAATAAGTCACACATTAAGGCAGGACTGATGTCAACATGAACGTTCCAAATATTCTAAAAAGTCTTTTCCTTTTTTGGTACTTATCTATTACAGAGAAAAGAATAAATATCTGAAAGATGAACGGGATATGTGTTTATATCAGGTAAATGCTGTTCCAAGTAATATGTCATCAAAGTTTTATTTCAGAGTCAAAAATAGACCGTAGACTTGTCGGGCATTTAGAAACAATGCTCCATTAAATCAGCTGTGTGTCCATTTCACAGCCCTACTTTTTAAAATTGGATGTATGCTGGAGAAGTCTCCATAGATAGGAGGGAAGGAAATCACGTGTTTTTTGCAAGTACAGGGATATACAGTAATGCAAATATGTGCATTTTCTGACTGGAATTGGGATTAAAGAGGACCTTTTTACCCCGTGGTTTTTGTCTGTTGCAGCAAATCAGCTTAGATTTACCAGTAGAGTAATTTAGTCACACACACCCCTTTAGCCCAGTCAATGCCACGTTTTAGGTTCTGTGTAGATGGACCCTCAGAGTTTTCAGATGCTGGTACCTGAGACACTTTTAGGGCTGAACTGTGGTTAGGCATTTGGCCTCAAATCAAGCTCTTACAGAAGAACACCAGATATGTGTTCCTCTCGGTCCCACTACCATCTCAAGCGTGGTTGGTGGGGACGAGAGAGAGGGCCTTCTCGGTGGTGGCCCCCCGCCTTTGGAACGCCCTTCCAAGGGAAATAAGACAGGCCCCATCCCTCCCCTCCTTTCGTAAGAGCTTGAAGACCTGGTGGTTTCAACAAGCCTTTGAAAATGACCAGTACTAACTCAGCCCTACACGTTGTCGAATATGGCCTTATTCTTCCTACCAATTACCCAGATTCTTTCCTCTAATCGGCCCCAGAATGAACAGCCACAGACCCGTACCTAATATTATTGTTGCCTACCATAGCATTGCAATTAATTCCCGGGCCCCCTAGAATTTTGAGGCTTGCACAAATCTTGGTTCGGCCTTTTAAATTTTTAAATTGCCTTCAACAGGCAATTTAATATGTGTGTTATGGTGACAATTTTTATGCTTATATTTTGTTTTGTTAATCTTATATTGTTTTTTACTTTGTATGCTTTGTGATGTTACCTGGGAATCGCTCTGAGTCCCCTTGGGGAGATGGAGCGGTATATAAATAAATTATTATTATTATTATTATTATTATTATTATTATTATTATTATTATTGAGTGGTAGACAAGTGCCACAGTTCCAGAATTGAGCTTTCTGCACATGGAACCTGCTGGAGGCACATGAAGGTGTCCAGAAGTCCACCAAAGGCTTTTGCAAAATCCTTTGAATAGGCAGGCAAAGCAAGTGAAGGAGAATGAAGGATAATTGCCACTCCTGCAGGCTTTCAGAAGTGCTGATTCTTTTTTTTTCCCCCAGCTGAAAGATTATTTCAGCTGGGTCCTAGAAAGTTTGAGAGGATCCCAGGAAGTGCACAAATAAGTTGCTAAAGCATGATGGCTCCAGTGGAAGTGTAGTATCCTTTCAGTAAAAGGGCATTTTGTCCAAGAATATTATTTTGAACACTAGCATTGAATGTATTGTTGAAGGCTTTCATGGCCGGAATCACAGGGTTGTTGTAGGTTTTTTCGGGCTATATGGCCATGTTCTAGAGGCATTCTAGAACATGGCCATATAGCCCGAAAAAACCTACAACAACCCACTAGCATTGAATTTTCCATTTTGTTAGCTTTACTATCTAATTTGCAGCAATTTTTGAAATATTTTTCTGCAGAAACAGAAGGGTGTCCCCCCTGCCAGCTGGAAGAAAAGATCAGGCTCAATCATAGGCAACTATATTGACAGAAAAGGTTTGTTGAGGAGGTAAGACTTCAATTTTATCATTCTTCATTTAACTTATTTTTCAAGTAACATGTAAAATAAAGACTCTTGAAATTAGTGCACAAAATAGGGTACTGTTTCATTATCCGGGCAAAGGCCACAAAAGGGTACTAGAAAGAGAAGGATACAGTGTTCCCTCGCTACTTCGCAGTTCGCTTTTAGCAGACTCGCTGTTTCACGGGTTTTTGAAAATATTAATAAAAATATTTAATATTAAATATTTACTGTATTGTCGAAGGCTTTCATGGCTGGAATCACTAGGTTCTTGTGGGTTTTTTCGGGCTATAGAGCCATGTTCTAGAGGCATTTCTCCTGACGTTTCGCCTCCTGACATTTCGCCTATGGCAAGCATCCTCAGAGGTTGAGAAGGATGCTTGCCATAGATGCAGGCGAAACGTCAGGAGAAATGCCTCTAGAACATGGCTCTATAGCCCGAAAAAACCCACAAGAACTTAAATATTTACGTCCCGTGGAGGCCAGAGACCCCGGAAGTGCAGCAGCCTGAGGCACGGTGGGAAAGGCTTGCCTTCCTGGCCTCCACAGACCCTGGAAATGCAGTGGCCTGAGGCAAGGCGGGGAAGGCCTACCTCCTTGGCCTGCTGCTGCCTGCGTGGCTCCGGAGGCTCTGCGGAGGCCAGGGAGGCAGGCAGGTGCCCTTGGGATGGGCTGGGAGGTGGGTAGGGAAGTGCAGGTAAGAAAATAATATATAAAATATATAAAATAATGTATAATTATTAAAATTAATATGGCATCCCTACTTCACAGATTTTCACTTATCACGGGTGGTCGTGGAACGGAACCCCCGCTATAAGTGAGGGAACACTGTAGTCCATTTTACGCCCCCTTGTGGCCTCCACCCAGATAATGGAACAGTACCCAAAACAGTTTTTTTTATTTAATTATTTGTTCGCTCTACCTATCTGAATCATCATTTTTTAAAAAACCTTTTGTGTTATCATCTATATTTATGTGTGGCTCAGTATGCAGCAATGTATTTTCTTAAAACTGATCTTGAAGCCAAAGGTAGTATTATTACAAGGCCTTGTAATAATTTGGCTTCAAGATGAGCTTTAAGAAAATACACTGTGGCATACTGAGCCACACATAGATATAGATGATGTGGCTTTCTGGTAAAATTAACAGAAATAGGAATCTGGCAGCTGTGTCGAAGTAGTCACAGTCCAGTGACAGTTCTTCTATGTTGAAATGAAATAAAATACAGTAGACTCTCTGTTAACATGCAACCATGGGATTGGTAGTAGCCAGATAAATGTAGTTTCTGGTTGCTTGAAAGATCCTATTGAGAATTGGACCATCTAATACTATGTCTCATTCTATATCATACAACTCTGTATCATACAACTCTGCATTGACTTAATATTAATATTGAAATACAATTAAAAGCAAGTTAAGACAAATAAAGACAAACTTAATGTAATATGGTTTCATGGTATTATAAAAATAGCTTTGTGAATGCAATATTATTTCTTCAATTTTCTTGCCAGTTGCTTGAGAGTTCAGGTTCCTGGAATTCTGGTTAACTGAAGGTCTACTGATATTTGAATTGTTAGTTTGGCCTTTGTTGCTCAAGAATAAAATGTACAACAAACCATTAAATATTAATTAAATAATTAGTTCTGTAACATAACTCTGTTGATAGATAGGTTGATAATGTTTTCACCCAAGTTGGTAGCAAAAACTAGAACAGTCAAAATGGATTTATTCCATAGAAACTAATTGTAGCAATGACGGTGTGCATTAATATTTTTCAATAAAATTCCAATTAAAAAAGCAAACAGCTAGTCAGTCGGTAGCTAAATAATCATGTTTCATTGCTTTAATTTTACTGAAATCATTGGTCAAGACTTATGCCGAAGTAGAGTTGAATTGCCTGAAATAATCCCAAACCTTGTGTTGAAGACTCCTCAGATGCTTCCAAATGCTGAAATATTTCCTGACTGTTTATCAGCTATATGTACCCAATTTTCAGATTCATAACTTTATGTTCTTAATTCACACAGAAAGTGTTGGACTATTGAGTGTGTTATTTGATAATATATTTCCTAATAACTTTCTAGCCAATCTTCTGAAGATGAAGATTCATGTAATACCTCCAAAAGAAGAAACTCTCTTGGCTTGAATGGGTGTCCTTCATTAGAGTCTGACCCTCCTGTTGGTGGGGGACCGGCTCATGGGAAGCGACTTCAAAGAATAATATCAATTGAAGAGGATCATCTGCCCCAGCTTCTCGATAGACCAGAGAGGCAGCTTCCAAAATGGTCTGAAGAAGACGAAGACATCCTGCAAGAAAAGGAACTGAACGGGACCCAAATAGAATCACCAACCGAAAAGACACCGTCCACTCCCAGAGAGCAACCAGTAGGGACAGAAACACTATCAAACGTAAGCAACAAAATCACATTGCTTTTCATTTTTTGTTTTATTTGAGACAGTGTTGGTGGACACCTTTTTTTGAATGGATTGTATTTCCCAATAAGACCTGCTTTCACGCAAAGTCTCTGCAACTTTAGATTTTTGTATATTTATTTATTTATTTACTTTATTTGTATACCGCAGTTTCTCAACCCGTAGGCGACTCAACGCGGTTAACAACAAGAGCAAAAATTCAGTGCTAACAACATACACTATTTAAAAACAATTAACACCGTAGTATACTAAGTAATTAACATCAATAAACAACACATTAACATTTCATAACTAGAATCGTGATCCAACTCGTCATCCGTAATTCCGCTTTCCTATATTCATTATATTCATTGCACTGCTTCTCCGAACGCCTGTTCAAATAGCCAGGTTTTCAGTTTTCTTCAAAACACCATTAATGAGGGGGCTGATCTAATGTCCATGGGAGGGCGTTCCACAGCCAAGGGGCCACCACTGAGAAGGCCCTGTCCCTCATCCCCGCCAAACTTGCCTGTGATGCAGAGCAGGGCCTCCCCAGAGGATCTTAAAGTCCTGGTGGGTTCATAGGCGGAGATATGTTCGGATAGGTAACTTGGGCCAGAACCGTTTAGGGCTTTATAGGCCAACGCCAGCACTTTGAATTGTGCCCGGTAGCAAATTGGTAGCCAGTGGAGCTGGTGCAGCAGAGGAGTTGTATGCTCCCTGCGCTCCGCTCCTGTTGGTATCATGGCTGCCGAACGTTGAACCAATTGAAGCTTCCGAGCTGTCTTCAAAGGCAACCCCACGTAGAGAGCGTTGCAGTAGTCTAAATGGGATGTAACCAGAGCATGGACTACCGTGGCCAAGTCAGACTTCCCAAGGTACGGGCGCAGCTGGCGCACAAGCTTTAACTATGCAAATGCTCCCCTGGTCACCGCCGAAACCTGGGGTTCCAGGCTCAGCGATGAGTCCAGGATCACACCCTAGCTGCGAACCTGCGTCTTCAGGGGGAGTGCGACCCCATCCAGCACAGGCTGTAACCCTATATCATCCACTCTCTTTGAACTGTAATTCTACATTACCTAGCACTCTTCACTTGATATGATTGCCAGTCCTGTAATTCTTATTCCATATCATAAAACTGTTGAACAGTGCAGAGGACAAGGACAGAGCCCTCTGGCTCTCCACCCACTCTCTGGATAAGGTTGCGCAAGTGGATTCAACTAACAGCACATTTGTCAGTCCACACTTTACCCAGGGAAGAGTAAGAATATAATGGGAGACTTTTTCAAATGATGCTAACTCCTCAAAGCCAGGATGCTTAATGAAAATTAGAAACATTACTGGATTGGAAAAATGTTGTCTCTTTTTCATGATCTCTTCCCATGGTCAGCTTATTAGTGATTTCTCAAAGGAAATAAGCTTCCTTTGCAATTATTTATTTTTCTTCTAACACACATTTATACCTATTATATTGCAATATTTCTTAGATGCTCTAGATATGCCGTCACGCCTGGGGGCTATAACTCTTAGTGAAAGAGACATAGACATGACATCTTTCCCCCAGGGGATTGCTTCTTGCCTTCCTTTAAAGAACTGGAACTCCCAAGGACCAAAACACTGTAGATAACTCAAAATAAGTTTTATTGTCCACAAAGAGTTATCCCTTTAAGGCAATAAGCTGGAAGTTTCAAAGGGGTAAAGGAAATATACATTACAATCTGGTTGTCTTGGGTCCAAGGAGATTTCGCAGCTGAGAAGCTTTTCAAGGTTCCCTCTTTCTCAATGGCTGGAAATGCCTGAACATTCACAGCCCCAATCCAAATGGCCTATATTTGAAGACACGAAGCCTTCCTCTGGTGCCACAGGACCAGTTTGAAGGCACTTGGGTCTCCTCAACGTTGTCCAGGGCAATCTGGGCATGAAGTATGAGTCTCAAGGGTAAAAACCTTAGAATTGGTGATGAGAGGTAACTTAATTAAGGGCTTTAGAGCCAAGTCTCTTTCTCACGTCTATCTGATAGAAAGTTTGATGGTAGAATGGAAAAGGAAAAACTCTGCCCTCCTCCAGGAAGAGGTGGAGCCAAGCAATTGAGCTGAGGAAGCAATATAACTGATGCAAACAACATTGATTGACAGCTATAAATAACCAATCAATCCAACTATATATTTACAAACTAGGCAAGTTTGGGCACGTTATGCAGTTTAAACCTTTGCATATTAAGTTCCACACACAGGTGTCGCCACTCGCGCCATCACACTAGAATTTTGCATAGTATTGATGTCAAGCCAACTGGCTCATAGGTCTCCCAAATCTAGCTTCTCCCAGCATCAGTGATAATGCAGAACAGTATGAAGTGCAACAGTGCTTGCCTTAGGGAATGTGCACGTGCCCCTGGAAGAATGGCCTCTGCCAAATCTCCAGGAAAATATATGGTGATGTTAGGGGATGTTTGATGACCTGACAGGATGATTTGAGAAGTATACAGTCTCCCTGGAGCAAAAATTCGAGATGTTGCGGAGTGGCTAACAAGGTCCAACAAGCCCTTAGATGGTTACCCCTTTCTTTTGGTACATGTGGGGAATTATGAGGGTATGGGTACAAATCCAAAGGGCCTTGATAGCTAGATCATCATTTCATATCTCCTCCCACTACAAGGACTGGGCTGTTCAAGGACATAGCTCAGGCAATAGAGAAGAAGAAAAATGAATAGCTGGCTTCACAGACACTGTTGAAGAGAGAAAAGTTATAGAGAGAATTGAGCAAAAAGTGTAAGAACTCAACAAAGAGAAAGAAAAATACTCAAATAAGCAATTTGGGGTGGTGGTGCCTGGTCTTCCATGTCTCTACACCAGGCTTGCACAACCCGTGGCCCTCCAGATGTTTTGGAATTTAAATTCCAGAATTCTTGACCAGGCTGGCTAGGGTTTCTAGTAGCTGGAGTCCCAAACACCCGGAGGACTACAAGTTGCAAACCACTGCTCTACATCAATGCACGAAGCATCAGAAATAAACAAGGTGAACTTGAACTTTTAATACAACAAAGCAAATGTGATATAATTGGTGTCACTGACGCCTGGTGGGATGAGTCGTATGTTTGGACTGTTGTAATAGAGGGGCATAAACTATTTTGGAAAAATAGATCAAACAGGAAAGGAGGAAGAGTAGCATTATATATCCAGGATTTTTATATCTGTGAGAAGATCCATGATATAAATAATTATCAGCATTAATGAGCTCATTCTGGACTTTAACCTTCCTGATTCCATCCTTCTGTTTCACCCATAAGGCTAACCTATCTAGCTGATGCGACTTTGATTTGTTCAACTAAATCTGGATCTGATCTTTTGTATCAAAATGGAGAATGTATAAATGAATGAATAAAAAAAGAGAAATATAACCTTTTAGTATCCTATAAAGAATAGTGCTGAAAAAGCAAAGTATGTACAATGCAGTTGACTGAACATCTTACGTTTGTATTTGCTTGAAGGATGAACAGTCATTTTCTGCCCCAGACTGTTTATTCAAGATTATTTTTGTGGGAGAATCAAGTGTAGGAAAGACTTCTTTTCTAAGACGGGTGTGTGAAGACCGTTTTTCCTCTGGTACTGCTGCTACTGTTGGTAAGTAATCTCAGGAAGGAAGAAAATACACAATGATACTTATTTCACCAACCTTGTGCATGTTACAATAAGGTTGACATTTAATGAATATCAACATTTATTTATGAAAAAAAGCTAACTAACCAGATTAACTTTATGCCATGTGTTATCTGCTGTTGGTCCACCACCTCCCTGTGATGAAGCCATCAGAGACTATTGATGGGCAAAGATCATCATTCTACAGTTCTGGGACTTACCTTATGTGATGAGGTCTGGCTGCTTCGGTGGAAGAATAATAGAATCATGTAGTTGGAAGAGACCTCATGGGCCATCCAGTCCAACCCCCTGCCAAGAAGCAGGAAAATTGCATTCAAAGCACCCCCGACAGATGGCCATCCAGCCTCTGTTTAAAAGTTTCCAAAGAAGGAGCCTCCACCACACTCCAGGGCAGAGAGTTCCACTGCTGAATGGCTCTCACAGGAAGTTCTTTCTAATGTTCAGATGGAATCTCCTTTCTTGTAGTTTGAAGCCATTGTTCCGCGTCCTAGTCTCCAGGGAAGCAGAAAACAAGCTTGCTCTATCCTCCCTATGACTTCCTCTCACATATTTATACATGGCTATCATGTCTCCTCTCTTCTCTTCTTCAGGCTAAACATGCCCAGCTCTTTAAGCCACTCCTCATAGGGCTTGTTCTCCAGATCCTTGATCATTTTAGTTGCCCTCCTCTAGACACATTCCAGCTTGTCAATATCTCTCTTCAATTGTGGTGCCCAGAATTGGACACAATATTCCAGGTGTGGTCTAACCAAGGCCGAATAGAGGGGTGGCATGACTTCCCTAAATCTAGACACTATACTCCTATTGATGCAGACCAAAATCCCATTGGCTTTTTTTGCCGCTGTATCACATTGTTGCCTCATGTTTAACTTGTTGTTCATGAGGACCCCAAGATCTTTTTCACACGTACTGCTCTCGGGCCAGGTTTCCCCCATTCTGTATTTTATTCTGAATCCTCTTTCTTCACTTAGTAAACAACAACAACACAATACTTTGCACTTGCAAAGTGTCTTTAAAGATACAAAGGGGGGAAGTAGTACCTGAGGAAGGGTGGAGTTACACCAACAACCCAGAAATGTGCCTTTGCACTCCCAAAGTGTTGCAGTCACACAGTGGCAGTAGTTGTGCAATGTCTCAAATCACAAAATCACAATGACAGCAATTAGCCATTATCCCTTGTTGTGGAAATAACAATGGGATAGCAGTTTCCATGTAATAATGTCCTTACTGTGTTCTAATTTAAAAACAACCTGTCATTAGCTGTTTCTAACAATCCTGATAAAGAGTCAAAATCTACCATAATAAACACACTGAAGCAACTTGGCCACAGATCAGCTTTTAACTCTGAGGCTCAGGCACACCATCTAGAAAAGTGATGAAGTAGGGGAATAAGAAAAGGTAAGTGGTGAGATTCCAAGGGTTGGAACTGAGGAACTTGCCTTGGAAAAAGGATCTATCACACACCCCTGCTTTAGCAAATTGATCAAGTACATTGTTAAGGATTGTTGTTGTTGTTCATTCGTTCAGTCGTTTCCGACTCTTCGTGAACTCATGGACCAGCCCACGTCAGAGCTCCCTGTCGGCCGTCACCACCCCCAGCTCCTTCAAGGTCAAGCCAGTCACTTCAAGAATCCAATCCATCCATCTTGCCCTTGGTCGGCCCCTCTTCCTTTTTCCTTCCATTTTCCCCAGCATCATTGTCTTCTCTAAGCTTTCCTGTCTTCTCATTATGTAGCCAAAATACTTCATCTTTGCCTCTACTATCCTTCCCTCCAATGAGCAGACGGGCTTTATTTCCTGGAGGATGGACTGGTTGGATCTTCTGGCGGTCCAAGGCACTCTCAGAACTTTCCTCCAGCACCAGAGTTCAAAAGCATCTATCTTCCTTCGCTCAGCCTGCCCTATGGTCCAGCTCTCACATCCATAGGTGACTATGGAGAATAACATTGCTTTTACTATGCGGATCTTTGTTGCAAGGGTGATGTCTCTGCTCTTCACTGTTTTATTGAGATTGGTCATTGCTCTCCTCCCAAGAGGTAAGCATCTTCTATTTTCCTGGCTGCAGTCTGTGTCTGCAGTAATCTTTGCACCTAGAAATACAAAGTCTGTTAAGGATTGTAGATTATTTCAATTCCTTGCAAAGTGAGTATATCCTAAGATTATTTTATTTCTGGTGTGTTACTATAGTGAGATATTTGAAAGAACAGTAGCAATTGCCCAGTAAATGTATACATTATTCTAGACATTAATATATCTCCAGTACCTAAAAAGCACACATATAATTTTACAGTTGGCACAGTAAAAAAATAATGGATTCAACCAAATGCTGCAATTATATTTCTTTGTTCTCAATGGGGTTTACTTCTGAGCATATATATATATATATATATATATATATATATATATATATATGTATAATTACTTAATTACTTATACTGTAATTACTTATACTGTAATTACTTATATTCGCCTTTACATATGACTATATATATATATATATATATATATATATATATATATATAGTCATATGTAAAGGCGAATATAAGTAATTACAGTACTTTTATATTCTTAATCAGGCTTCTATCATCCAGAAGGAGCACACAGATCACAGACAACTGGACTTTCTTATCTTTACAGGTGTGGATTACAGTGTGAAAACGATAGCAGTGGATAATAGACGTATAGTGCTGCAACTCTGGGACACGGCGGGACAGGAAAGGTAACAAACTCCCCTTGTGTCATACCACAACACATGCTGTCTGGAAGTAAGCTGATACTTTGAAGGCACACTCACAGATAGTATCTAGGATCAGTTTGGAATAAGATCCTTGTAAAATCTTTGATTCCAGGAAACTAATTCATCAGAGCCACGGAAAGGCAGTGTTATAGACCTAAAGCCTAAGGCATTTGCATCATAGTCTCTTTTGGATAAATAAATTAGGATATGTGGTTATTAATATGGACTCAGATAACAAGCTGTGAGGGGCCACACTGGCACAGTGGGTTAAACAGCTAAGCTGCAAAACTTGCTGATTGGAAGGTTGGTGATTTGAATCCGTGAGACGGGGTGAGTTCCTGTTGTTAGCCCCAGTTCCTGCCAACCTAGCAGTTCAAAACATGCAAATCTGAGTAGATCAATAAGTACCACTTCAGTAGGAAGGTAACAGTACTCCATGCAGTCACACCGGCCACATGACCTTGGAGGCATCTACAGACAACGCCAGCTCTTTGACTTAGAAATGGAGATGAGCACCACTCCCCAGAGTTGGACTCGATTAGACATAATATCAAGGGGAAACCTTTACCTTTAACAAGCTGTGAAGGTGGGAGGACCAATATGAACAAGATCTTGAGATGTACTCATAGTTCCCTGAAGGAAAAGAGGGGCACTAAATAACAAAAAAAATGATATGCCAGTTATAGTCAGGGAATGTAAGGGGTGAGAACCTATCTGCTTCCTGATATGAGCCATTTGCTTAAATCATGGGTCATTCCTTTATTCTAAATATCAACATTTCAGTTTTGTGATAAAGAATTGCTCTGTTGCCTTTAACCATGTTATGTTTGTGGGACTACTGAGATTTTGTGTTTGTAGGTACCGCAGCATCACCAAGCAGTTTTTCCGAAAAGCCGATGGAGTCATTGTGATGTATGACATAACCGCAAGAGAAACATTTATGGCTGTGAAGCAGTGGCTAGTGAGCATTGAGGTAAATCTGGACAGCTTTAAACATAGCTTCGGATTCTACTGAGTAGCTCCAGTGACAAATCTCACCCAGGTTTCATTGTTGTTAGAAAGAAAAGTGGTTGGAGACAAGAATTTCTCCAGTTGCTGAGTTTATTTGCAAATAAACAACAAGTAGACATACACAGTTTAATTTTCAGGTGGAAAGAAGAAAGGGGTCTATAGGTTGAGTATCTCTTATTCAAAATGGATGGGACAAGAATTATTCCATATTTTGAATTTTCTTCAGATTTTGGAAGCCTTATATATACATAATGAAATATTTGGGGCACAAGTCTGAAAAGTAGCTTATGTTTCATATATACTTTATTCCCATATCTTAAGGTAATTTTATAGACAATGTTTTTGATTGTTATATGTATGAAACAAAGTTTGAAAAACAAATGTGCCACTGTCTCAGCTACTAGTGAGGATAATTTTGGTGTATTGTGGATTTCAGAATTCTGGATAAGGAATTCTCAACCTGATTGAACTCCCGTTTTTCCTTCTGCTTCAATCTGCTCCCCGCCTCTTCTTTTTCATCAAATGTACCTTTTGATAATTAGGCTCTCACCATCGAGAGCTCCATTTCTTAGGCATTCAGGACCATTTATCTACAGGAGCCCCCGGTGGCACAATGGGTTAAACCCTTGTGCTGGCAGGATTGAAGACCGACAGGTCGCAGGTTTGAATCCAGGGAGAGCACGGATGAGTTCCCTCTGTCAGGTCCGGCCCCCCATGCGGGGACATGGGAGAAGCCTCCCACAAGGATGGTAAAACATCAAAAACATCCTGGCGTCTTCTGGGCAACGTCCTTGCAGACAGCCAATTCTCTCACACCAGAAACGACTTGGAGTTTCTCAAGTTGCTCCTGACATGGAAAAAAAATCCACAGTTTCCCTAAAAGCTGGCATTGTTGGCCACTGACTATTAAAGTGCTTTTTAAATTTTGTCAAACATATACATAAAACTATGAAGTGTGAATGAGACAAATGCATAGTTGCAAGAATGAGCCTTGTCAGGGCAGCAAAATGAGATAATACCACAGCCTATGGTCAGAGACTGAATTCATCTCTTTACCCTTCTGCTAGTATATTCTTGTGAATAATTTCCATGGCTTCTCTTTAAGCATCTTAACAAAGTACTTTTTTTTGCTTCTCTTCATCTAATGTTGGCTCTACTTTGCAATAAAATTAATGCACTCTGTGTTGAGGCCCTACTGGGAGCTATCTGTACTCATTTTCATGGTAATTTGGGCTTTTCTTAAGATTTTGTTGATGTTTGACTTGCTGTTAATTTTTCATAGGAAGCAACAGGGGAGAACATTCCTATCCTTCTGCTTGGTAATAAAACTGATAAGGAAAAAGAACGTGAAGTCCCTTATGGATTAGGAAAACACCTAGCCCAGGTAAACTAAGTAGGAAAATTGTGAAGAAAACATCACTGTCATTGAGCGAACCCTGGGAACAACAAAAAAAAATTAAATGCTATCTTAATGTAAAAAGAAGTGACATTAGAAAATAATTTATTTAAAGTAATGGTGTTGTCTTTAGGTAAAGGTAACAGTTTTCCCCTGACATTAAATCCAGTCCATAGGCTTTTAAATCCTTGTGTGTTATTGTTATATGTGATTTATATTAATTTGTATTGCATTGTATTGTTTTGTTTATTGCTTTTCTGTTTTATTGATATGTTATTGGGCTTCGCCTCATGTAAGCCGCTCCGAGTCCCTTGGGGAGATGGTGGCGGGGTATAAATAAAGATGATGATGATGATGATGATGGTTATTATTATTATTATTATTATTATTATTATTATTATTATCATCATCATGTCCGACTCTGGGGTGTGGTGCTCACCTCCATTCCTAAGCCGAAGAGCCAGCGTTGTCCGTAGACACCTCCAAGGTCATGTGGCCGGTATGACTGGATGGAGGTAACGGTATTGTCTTTAACCGAGTATTTTTGGCAAAGAGTAGGCTATACTATTCCTTTCTCCCCAGAGCAATGAGGTCCCCAGGTGCCCCCACTCAATCAAATGATCAATTGATCAATTGTTTTTGATGCGAGAGTATGAACCGTCTACGAAGACATTGCCCAGGAGATGCCCGGATGTATTACTGTCCTGCGGGAGGGACTTCTCTCATGTCTGGAAGGCTTTTCTCATGTCTCCACGTGCGAGTGTGGAGAAGAGCAAACCACAGACCACGTACTACAATGCAGTCTGTGACCTGCCATGTGCACAATGGAGAACCTTCTTACAGTGACACCAGAAGCACTCAAAAGTGGCCAGCTTTTGGTCAAATGAAATTTAGTATAATGCCAAGTTTTTATTTTTTTGCTGATTTTTCTATGCATTATAACTGTATTCTCAATTAGCTTCTGACCCAATAAATAAATAAATTATCCTTGTTTCCCTATTCTGAAACTGTTCCAACTTGATTAGATCCTTATTAAAATGAGATGTTCAGAACAGAGTGCAGTACATTAAACAAGGTCTGACTAGCACAGAAAATGGGAGGGTTATTACTTCACTTCACTTGCAATCTATATGTCTATAAAATGCAGGATACTGTAGCATTTGCAGTCTTTTCTGCAGAATCATTTTGATGATTCATGTTTAACTTATGATTAACAATAATCTCTTTTTACATATAGTACTGCTGAGCCATCCTATATCTGAGCAGTTGATTTTTGTAGCCTAAATTCAGAATTTGTCTCCGATGAAATTCATTTCATTAATTTAATTAAGTATTCTCAAATGTTTTGTCTACCTATTCTAGGATTACAATTTAATCTTTTATGAATGCAGTGCCTTATCAGGAGACAGCACAAACAAGTCTATTCTTCACTTGGCTAGGTAAGTACTCAGGCTTGCTAGAGGGATTAAAATAATAAAGGGCTTTTTGTTATGTCCAGAGTAAAATAATAATAATAATAATAATAATAATAATAATAATAATAATACCCCGCTACCATCTCCCCAAGGGACTCGGTGCAGCTTACATGAGGCCGAGCCCACCATACATCAATAATAAAAGCAATAACAAACAAACAATACAAAACATTTAAAATAAATCTCATAAACAAAAATAAGCAATAAACATTGACAGTAGCACAACATGAAAATGAAAAACAAGGAAATGGTCAGGCCACTGTGTACAAGTGATGACAAAATGCTGAGATGGGAAAGATAAAATTCAAAGCCTTTTTTTTGTCTTAGTCTTCTCCCAAAAGGTAAAGATTGCTCCCCTTGGGGATGATGAAGCAGAGGATGCAATTGGAGAAATACAGCAGAGAATAGGTTAAGAGGCAGTACAGGAACATCTGGCAAATCCAAATGAATTTAAGTCTTGAGGGTCATATGAATTACATACAAGTGTTGCACTCCAGGATAGGAATAACCCTCTGACGTTAAAACACCAAATGTTGAGTAGGGAAAACAATCCTTTTATTGAAGATAAGTAAAAGCAGCAAAGTAAAAAAGGCACTTTAAAGGGATAGGTAAATCCAATTAGGTAAGAAGATAAGCAGGAACAAAATTAGTCCAAGGTAAAGTTCAGCAAAGTCCAAAAACAAAGTCCACACTTCTCTAACAAAATCTAAAAAATCAGGAAACGTTGATCCAAGGCATGAGTATGTAATCACAAGGGACAAAAACCAAACCAGGAAACAAGAAATCCATAAGCATGAATCTTCCAAGCAAGGTTTCTATAAGATGAGGACAAGAACTTAGCAGGATTCTAAATGATGTTTCATCTGACTGTTCCATGCTTGGAACTTTTAAGCCTTTCCAAGCACTCAGAAACTGGTTTCGCTTTCCTTGATTGGCCCTTATCTTTTTCTGTTGAAGCCTGGCAGAACACTGAAGGCATTGCTCAGCCTGTCTGTTTTGACTAATTTCCACCTGCCTCATTGCTCATTAGTTCCTGCAGGAGCCAAGTTGTTTTCAAGCCTGCACTTAGAGATCTACACTTCGAAGGGGGGAAAATGAAATGCAATGATAAACAATGGGTGACGTGTAAAAAGAATTTTGGAGTCTTAGTAGACCACAAGCTGAACAATGTGTGGAGTCAACAATGTGATGCAGCAGCTAAAAAAGTCAATATGATTCTAAGGCTGATTCTTCTCTTCCCCCCCCCCCCCCCATTTTTTTTAAAGAGGGGATATTGGTTATTTATTTTAGTTAGGGATGGGGGATATAATGTGTTGAAATGTCATGGGATTACGTTTGTTTTGCTAGATTTATTTGTTTTGGCTTTGATTTGAGTCTCTGTGTTTGTTTTATTTTTAATTTTTTTTTGTGTATACCTAATAAAAATAATTAGTGACAGAGGGAAGCAGTTGGAAAATTCACAAAAAATAGGTCTATCCCTGGTTGTTAGCTAAAATGGTTAAGAAGAATTTTCACAACACATACAACATGGGCCCTCAAACTAAGGCCCGGGGGCTGGTTATGGCCCTCCAAGATCATTTACCCGGCCCTCGCTCAGGGTCAATCTACATCTGAAATGACTTGAAAGCACACAACAACAACAACAACAATCCTATCTCATCAGCCTTGCTTCTGTGCCGGCAGGACTGAGGACCGGCAGGTCGCAGGTTCGAATCCGGGGAGAGGCAGATGCGCTCCCTCTATCAGCTCCAGCTCCTCATGCGGGGACATGAGAGAAGCCTCCCACAAGGATGATAAAAACATCAAATCATTCGGGCATCCCCTGGGCAATGTCCTTGCAGACGGCCAATTCTCTCATACCAGAAGCGACTTGCAGTTTCTCAAGTCGCTCCTGACACCATAAAAAAAAGCCAAAAGCAGGCAGACACTTCCCATTGAAATACTAATAAGTTTATATTTGTTAAATTTGTTTTTCATTTTAATTATTGTATTGTTTTAAGCATTTTTGCATTATAAATAAGATATGTGCAGTGTGCACAGGAATTCATTCATGCTTTTTTCAAATTATAATCCGGCCCTCCAATAGTTTGAGGGACTGTGACCTGGCCCTCTGTTTAAAAGGTTTGAGGATCCTGATATACAACATCTCATGTTTCCAGTTTAGATTCTGGAGACAATCAAAAACTCAACTTATGGTCATTTGCTGACTGTGGCTAGAAAAAAGAGTGGTGGGCTATATAGTCCATTGAGCCTGTTCAGAAAATAAATTCTTGCATTGCTTTCTTTAGGATACTGAAAGAACAAGAAGACAAAGTGAAGGAAAAAACTGTTCAGCTACATCAAGACTTCAAGAAAAAATCTTGTTGTTTGAAGCAATAAAAGGCATTCTCCCTTTAACTAGTAAAATTGATCATCTTTCTTTTTTACTTCATCATCACATCCATTTCATACTACAGCATGAGAAAATGACATGCTGGGTATAATGATAGCTCTGTTCCTGAATGGCTGAAAAGCTGAGTGTAGATAGGGAAGATTACCGGTTAATTAAATTGTTGTATTTAAATTACTTTATCAAATACCTGCCCTCCACCCGACAAAACACAAACAAACAGAGATATAATGAATATTAATTTATATTTTTTTCTTTTCTCAAGTTTTGCAATTCTGAAGTGTCGCTCCACTTCAATTGCAGAGAAGCCCAGCTAACTATATCTCCTCCTGCAAATAAAATCCACTTTGATAACATTATATAAATTGTATAAGATGAAATCAAATGGAATCAAATTGCTACTCTGGCCAGAGCAAAGACAGAGGGGAGCAGAAGACATTTCCATCTTGACTTTACTAATAATATAATATAGTATATTGTATATACATATAATTTTTATAATATTATAATGTAATACAATATAATACTAGTAATAATAATACAATATTATAATTATAACTATATATTTAAATTACATGCAATATTACTAATAATATTACAATATAGTGGTATAGTGCAATATAGTAATTTAGTAATATTGATATTGTACTATGCTAATAATATAATATATTGTATGAAAATATAGATTGTAAGCCACTCTGAGTCACCTTTGAGGTGAGAAGGGCGGCATGTTTGCATATAAGGTTCAGCACACAATGGAGTGTTTTTTTAAAGAATCAGTGCCTTTTTCTCTTCCTCTAATTGTTTATTCAAGCCCTGTTTAATATTATAAAGTTTAAAATAAAGAGAGAGTTCTAATTGCTCTATGTTCGTGTTTTCTTTAAACCAGCTGTGTGTCCGTTTCAAGCCTGATCAGCTGATCAACGGTTTTGGACTGTTTAAAAGAGCAAATGCACTGGAGCAGGCTCCACAGGGTGGAGGGAAGAAAATCATGTGTTTTTCGCGAGTGCAGAATTATACAGCATTACAAATACAAGGGTTGAATGAAAAGTAATGCCTCCACCTTTATAAACTCCTCAACAGATCGCAGTACTGGTATGCAGCAGGTACTGGCTTGTTCAGTAGACTCTCTACAGTTCCATTTTGGCAGGAAGACTTAGCATTGAAGGGTTGTGTTGTTAAAGTGCAAAGTATGGAACCTTGCACAGATGGTTGGTCAATGCGACTTTAGCAATGTGCAGTCATTGAATTCTTGACAGCAGTAGGTGTCACCTCAACATCTTACTCACCCAACGACGCTCAGTATTCACATCAACACAATCACCATACGAACCCACACGATCTCTTTGATCATCTGGAGAGGTCCTGCTCACGCTCCCACCACCTTTGCAGGCGCAATTGGTGGGGATGAGGGAGAGGGCCTTTTTGGTGGTGGCCCCTTGACTCTGGAACTCACTTCCCAAGGACATCAGACATGCCCCAACACTGGCAGTCTTTAGGAGGAGCCTGAAAACATGGTTGTTCCAGTGTGCCTTTCCAGAATAAGGAAAACTCTTAGCAATATGTCCCCCAATGCACTTTAACATTAACATTGATTTAGGATTGCCTGCGCGCCCTCATCTTTCTTTGAAAACCCTATCCTAGTTATACACTACCTTGTTCATGCCCAGCATTATTTTTTGAATTTTAAATTATTACATTTGGCCCAGCCATAGGTTTTTAAATGCTTGTATGTTATTGTTATTGTTTATTGTTTATTTTTGTTGAGATTTATTTTACTGTTTTGTATTGATTATTTTGTTATTGCCTTCGTTTTATTGATGTACTGCGGACTTGGCCTCATGTAAGCTGCACTGAATCCCTTTGGGAGATGGTAGCAGGGTACAAATATATTATTATTATTATTATTATTATTATTATTATTATTAACAGCTTGCATTCTCTGAAGAATCTCCTTCTGCTGTCAAGAATTCAATGACTGCACGTTGCTTAAGTCGCATTGACCGACCATCTGGATAGGCTTCCATATTTTGCACTTTAACAACACAACCCTTCAATGCTAATGGATCTGTAGAGGAGCGTCTACTGAACAAGCCAGTACCTGCCGCATACCAGTACTGCCATCTGTTACGAGTTATGAAGGTGGAGGCATTACTTTTTATTCAACCCTCGCATGTTCATTTTCCAGCCGGATGCGGGATAAAAGGGGACCTTTTAACCCTGTGTTTTTCATCCATTGCATCAAATCAGTGCAGATTTACTGCTAGCATCATGCAGCCACCCCCCTTTTAAATCGGTATCTTCTGGGTTTTAGGTGCTGTGTAGATGGGCCCTGAAACTGTAAATGTATAAACTGGTCTTACTTAATCCCCTGTCTGGGAACAAGAAATGGCTAAGACAGCTAATGTATGCATGTCTAAAAGCCCAAACTACATAGATGGGATTTCCTTTGTACGAGGGGTATTTTTAAAGTAAGGTCCGTTTTGTTGTAGACACTAGTAGTTCGCGCACATACCACAACGAGAGCGTGCGTCGTGTACCGGCATGCCTCGGGAACAACTGTGCTCAGTTTCCGCTCTGTAGCTAACCTGTACGGTTCTATTCTGTGCTTTAAAATGTTTAAGATTATCAACTCACCCTCCGCATGTGAGGTTCGCTCAGTGATATGGTTTTTGGTCAGCAAGGAACCTGCCTGCTGCAGAAATTCATCGACAGATTTGTGAAGTGTACGGTGATACTGTTATGCGTGAAAGCAAAGTGCGTAAGTGGGTACGACAATTCAAAGATGGCCATGACAACGTCCATGATGAGGACCGCTCCGGTCGCCCTTCTTTGATTACAGACGATTTGGTGGCTTCAGTTGAAGCGAGGATTCGTGAAGAGGGTATTTTAAAATTGGTTCAGAGGTATGATAAGTGTTTGAACAAACTTGGCAACTATGTCGAAAAATAGAGTGAAGTATGTACTTTCTGAAAATAATTTTACTTTTTTGAAATAAACTTTCGTTGTGTACTTATGTTCAAACAGACCTTACTTAAAAAATACCCCTCGTATATATGTAAACTGCAACTCACCTTTCATATACGGATTACCTCTGTATATGAGGGCTAGACAGGAAATGCGCACCAACACCCCAATCCCAGGCTGGTGTTTTCCTAGCTCTCTACTGAGAAGCCCTTTTCAACACAAGGGAGACTTGCCTACATTTTCAAAACTGCTCACATATTTATTTGAGAATTCCTCATAAATTTATAGTTCTCCATATACCTTGTGTTATCTTATCATATATGCTTACTAATAAAGGATAAACTAGATACACTGAAGCTGGATAACAATATCTGCGCTCATACGATCCAGGGCATACCTCCTGAAGAACTAAAATAATATGAGGCTAAGACCACCAGGCGATGATAATACCAGCATGTAATTATAATGCCATCATGTAAGATAGTTTCCTGGCTCCCTGATAGGGTCCAGAAATATATTGCTAAACAAAACTGCACAGATTACCTTTGTATGCATTCCATTGAACTAATCTATATCTATCTATCTATCTATCTATCTATCTATCTATCTATCTATCTATCTATCTATCTATCTAATGATCGTTTGTGAGATTAACATAACTCAAAAACCACTGGATGAATTGCCACCAGATTTGGCCACAAGACACCTACTAATCCAAGGAGTGACCATCACTCAAAAATTTATTTTGTCATTTGGGAGTTGTAGTTGCTGGGATTTATAGTTCACCTACAATCAAGGAGCCTTCTAAACTCCACCAATGATGGAACTGGGCCAAACTTAGCACACGGGACTCCCATGACCAACAGAAAACACTAGAAGGGTTTGGTGGGCATTGACCCTGAGTTTGGGAGTTGTAGTTCACTTACATCCAGAGAGCTCTGTGGACTCAAACTAGGCATGAATATTCCATATGCTCAAATCTAAACACCGATGGAGTTTGGGGGAAATAGACTTTGACATTTGGGAGTTGTAGTTACTGGGATTTATAGTTCACCAACAATAAAAGAGCATTCTGAACCCCACCAATGACAAAATTGGGGAAAACTTCCTACACAGAATCCCCTTGACAAACAGAAAATACATAAGGCCACCCAGTCCAACTCCCTTCACCAGGGCAAGAAAACGTAATCAAAGCCCTCCTGACAAAGAGCCATCCAGCCATAGATATAGATAGATATACATGATTCATACACAGAGATATATAGTATCATAGATTTGAAAGGGACCCCTAAAGAAGGACAATTATATGTTGCATGTTCCAGAATAGGCAAACCAGACAATCTCCACATCAACACTGACAAAGAAATAGCAAAAAATACTGTTTACCCACAAGCATCAAGACATTACATATATTAGAAAGCAACACTTACTCATTACTTTATTTTCCAGATCACCAGTCTGGGCCACAGCAACACCTGGCAGGGGACGGCTAGTATTTGCATAAAAATCCATTGTGTTCTCCAATCTTCTTACTTTGTATTTACATGGACTGGACATTTAAGTCAATCACAAAGGTATTTTACCCTATTCATTGACAAAATTCCTGGACTCACGCCCCTCATGGGGGCGGATCTATGAACAGACTTGGATTTTAAACCCACCATTCACAGCTGTTCCTTTTTGCCACCGCCGTCCTCCAAACGGTGACATCAGGAGAGTTCCCCAGCCAACAGGAGCCTGGATCGAAACCAGGCCAGTTTTTCAGCCAATCAGGGGAGGTCGTGGATATTTTAAATGGTTACCAAAGTAAATAAAATGTTCTGTATTTCTCTGTAAATCTTACGTTGGTTCTTTTAGAGCGGAAGCTTTGTCCTGACATCATAGTAGAATCTCTTCTAAGAATTAAAGCTATAGTAGTTTCTAACCAAGCTCTGTTAGCTTTTTAGTTTTTAAAAGAAAATTGCATAGAGTTTTTGAATTATCCAGCTGTCAGATCAAGTCAATAAGTATTTTGTTTCTATGCTGTAATGGTCTTATTCCCTCTATTGTCAATAATCTTTGTAATGGCTGTCTTTTAAAAAATTGCAGAGAGCAGCTTTTATATTTCAAATTCAATAGGTTATTTCTTTTAATTAACCTGGAGTTGACAGACCTTGTAGGAGGTCCCCAGATGGGCATTAGGGCATCCATGAAATGGGGAAAACATTATTTGATTTCCTTCTGTAGTACTATTCCATGATCCGGGCACAGACCACTAGGATGGGTTGGAGGAGGAAAACCATTTCCTCCTGTTTTACTGTTATTTCCACCCCACCCCGCCTTGCCCCTGTCGTGGAAACAGTCTTTGTTTATGATTTGGGGTTTTATCAGTTTTATCATATCTTATCATATTTATTTACTGTATTTTGTGTCTTATTTTAACTTACTACATAGAATGCAATCAAGTCTTATCAAGCCTTGTTGTTTGGTTTGGTATTG